ACTGTCTTTTACTGTGGCTCACTGTGAAGTTAAAGGTGTCTGAAGTCTAATGTCCTTACTTATGGGTGAAGGTGACACATCAGTAAAGATTTGGTCGGTCTTTGTTATTGCTATCACTCTTGGAACTCCGTTGGATAGAATGCAAATCTGATAATTATCTCTTTATAGAAGGAGAGAGACTTGGCTTTCTGTTTGAGATGGGAGAAAAAGAAACATGGGATATTTGTGTAACGGAATAGTTGGTAGGACACATGGTCATGTGGTGGCTTTGGAGCGTGACACTAAGAACAACTGCCTGCCTGTATTTCTTCAGTACCATTGGCCTGTCAAGGGAATCAATAATTGCTGTGTGAAATATAATTAAACAGAAGGGTTTTTTTAACGCTGTTATTGTTTAATTTTAACCATCACAGGATTTGAATCACAAGGTGACTGTTTTGTGGACATAGAAAACGTCTGCCTCCTGGAATTACCATATGCAGGTGCTTCTGCACTGTTTGAGACTACTCTTTTTTTTTCTCCAGAATCATCTTGCATGTGACAGCTGAATAAATTCTACTTGTGTTCTGTGTGTTGGTCTCAGATTTGTGTTTAGATTGGCTAAAAGTGTATCTTTAGGTTCAGATCTGGACACTTAATTTTATACATTTGTTGACTTCTGTAGGACTAATTACATAGTTACTTTTGTGCTTAGATTTTTTTGGTCTTAGACTTGGCTAAAGCATTACTAGAAAAACTGGCTAGGAAAATCTGAACATATTAGGAGTTAAGAGAGCAGATCTGGGTTTTGCGGAGGGTGAGGTTAGTGGGGTAGGGGTGGGGTGTTCTTTTCTCTTCAATGTAGTTTCTAAAAAAAATTTTGGAACATTTTGAGCAAACAAAAACCCAACACTTGTATCATGGATTGGCATATTTTTATGAAAAATAATATCAAGATGAGATTTAAGTGTAAATTTCCCAACTAAGCATTGTATTTCAAATTCAACGTGTAGTGTGTGCAAAGCATGAATATAAAAAAGATTGTACTGGATCAAATAAAAGGCCAGTCTGCTCTAGCAGCATGCTTCTGATAGTAAGCAGTAATGAATGCTTGGGGAAAATTGCAAAACCAAAATAAACAGGATGTTAATACTATTTGACTACCTTACTGTACACGGCTGTAACCTGACAGCTTGAGATTTTTTTATTTTCCTTTTGATCATGGCTTAAATTTATACAAGATACCGTTTTACTTCTAGTAGCTTCCCCTCCAGACTCTGACTGCTTTCCTAAAATTCTTATCTTTTGAACTTTCAATATATTTTTTTTTCATCATCTTGCATTCAGTAAAGACTACTCTGTGTTAAAGAATCTAAGCTTGCAACCAACTTCTTCCTATTTTTGTAGTTCTCCTTTTAAATTTAACCTTAGTAATGGTGTACTTCTCACTTTTATTGTTTCTGCAGAGATAGTGAATTGAAATACCCTGTGATTCATGAGCAGTCGTGGATGATATCTTCTATTTAGTCCTCACCTAACACCCCAATTTAGAGTTTTAGAGATTTAGAGTTAAGCAAAGAATTCCTCTAATCTCACTTCTAGAGGAGTTGTCATCTTAAATCATCTGCAGTTCTGCATTTAGCAGCTTTCCTTGCTGCTTCTAATTGTTCTTAAGGAACCATTCCCATTTTAAGTGCCAGCAATGTGCTTCCATTTTGTTTGAGATTAATTCTAGCTTGTTTGTAGAGGAACACTCTATTCCCTAAGTTTCCTCCTTTTTTCTTACAATATTTTCTCAGTTGTACATTGAGTTATTAGTCTTCAGAAGGTATGTAAATAGCATAAACTTCATATCTACATTTTGTTTAGTGGAATAGATGAACTAAATTTTTTGCTGGTGAAAAGATTTCTGGAGTAGAAATAATTTTTCAGTTTGGGTAAAGAGCAGCATTACTTGTTTTTAAAAAGCTGTTAAGTACATTTAATATATGACTCCTGTGGAAAACTATATACGCTTGAATCTTTCTCTTTAGAGAGATCTGAACCCCTGGGGGTACTCTAATACAGTTTTGCAATGAATGAATGAAGAATTACTTGGAAGAGAAGTCATCTTCTAACTTTTTATTTACCTTTTTATTTTATTATTGACAGGTAATGGGTATAATTTCCTATTTTAATAGGACTTCTGGGCAATGGAAAAGTGGAGTCCTTGCCCCACAGTGCCTTAAGGCATTGTTTTCAAGGAAGTATATTCAGCAGGAATATATACCAATTTCACAATATTTGTATCTTTTGTTCTAATGTGAATTTGTATGGTTTTTCTACAAGAGTGCACTAAGGGACTTCAGCCAGGCTGTAGTAATGTGATTTTTGTCAGGTCATGGTTGAAACCCCAGCTGGTTTTATATTGTCTGAGGATTACAGTCCTGGTCCACTCATTGTCCAGAGCAGAGAGTTGATGCGCAGTATAGTCGTTGTCTGGCCCACCTCTGGGTATTATTTCTACAGAAGAAATGCAGAGCTGTTTTTTAACTTGTGTCTTTCCAAGATGTGCAGTTGGAGTATGGCTGGATGCTCATACAGTGGCAGAATTTTCATGGTGCTCTTGAATCTTCCAGTTCAGATGTAACCTACAGTCTTGCTCTTTGGATCAGTGGCAGTAGGGTGGGATTCTGTCATTTGTGTTTTGTGGACTAGATCTTTGAACTAGCCTTCAGTCGTCTTTCCAGTTGCTGATAAAACAAATCAAGAAGAAATTTAGAATGGATTTCTTCAGAATAGGGTTGTATCAAAGACTGTTCATATGTTGGAGGTTGTAAAACTACGCCAGCAATAAAACTGTGTGCATCTTTTCACACAATTATCCCACTCCGCAGAATATTAGAATAAAAGAGCCTTTGTTTAACCTCAAAATGGTTTTGCAGAGAATCTTCATGTGAAAGCTGCCATCTTTCTCTAATGTTTTGAACATTGATGTGGTAGAAAACAAACCCAAACCTCATTATTGTGAAAGCTTTCTCAAGCTATGCTAAATTTTTTTAATAAGTGTTTTAGCTGGGATGTTTAGTTTCAGTTAACTTCATCCATTTTTCATTCAGTTCATTAACAATGTCAGTCCTGCAGTCTAGGTCTTTGCCTCTAGCTACAAGAGTTTGCAGAATTCTGCATCAGCAGTGGATGCCATGATCTAAAAGAAGGCTTTGTGATGTTTTAGCTTGAGAATGTTTCTTAGAAATGATGGAACAATGGAGTGACAGTCAGCTCACGAGTTTCACATATTCTAGACTTCAGGAAGCAAAGTTGAGGCTACTTCCAAAAATAATGCCACAAGAAGGTGATGTTTCATTGTACCACTTCTTTCTATTTGACAGGCATCTACAGCACACTGTGTGGATGGCATTCCTGGCTACTGTGCACTCTCATGACTTGCATTCAGCCTGTTGTGGACCAGCACTGTGTGTTCTTCTCTGCAAAGCAACGTTCTGTGTTTTGGCCTTTAGCCCACACTAGTGTGAGGAGTTACTCTGCCATAGGTGCAGGTCTTTGCATTGGCCTTTATTAGGTGGGGGGGGCCTGCCTGTCAAGGTCACTCTGGCTGGCATCCCATCCCTCCAGTGTGTGAGTTGCCTCTTCAATCCCTCCAACTTGGTGTTGTCCATGCACTTCCTGAGGGCATATTTGATCCTGTTTTCCAGGTTGTTGATGAAGATATTAAACGATGCTGATTCCAGTGTTGGCCCTGAGAAATGTTGCTTGTGGCTGTCTTGACGGTTATACTTCAGACTGTTGAGGTCTTTTTTTGTGCCTGATGGTGACTTTGAACCATTTTTCCAGTCACTTTCTAGTCTGTTTTTTTCAGTCTAGTGTAGAACAGAGTAATGTATGTTCCAATGATAATGTGATAGGAACTAAACAGAAACACAGTTATTTCACGCAAGTGTTAAAAACTGAGAACTAAAGCCTGAAATAGCAAGGGATTTATATTGCATCTTTGTTAAAAGAGTTTGTTCAGCGTTTCTGAGAAACCACATCCTTTTGAAATATCTTGGGTTGGGAACCAGAGTTACTTTCAAAAAAGTAGACAGTCATTCTTCAAGTAAATCTCTCTTCTAAGATAGTTTCATGGAGTTTTTATGACACAGGCTTTGGTAGTTAACTGATAATTTCCAGGATTCTTGGGTTGCATCCCACTTGAATTTTCTGGTCTCTTTAAAGATTTCATATAGTCAGAGATGCTATGCATTTTTGTAGTGCTCTGATTTTTTTAAAATACTCCGTATGCAGTCATGCATTGTCAGAATAACTCTAATTCAAGTATTATGTTCCCATTGTCAAAGATATCTCTTCTTTCTGCTTGTAGGGTAGGCTAAATTGCAACCGTATTTTTATAGCTAAATGCACTTGGCATTGTTTTTTGCAACTTTATCCTCATTTTAGCTAAGTTGTAAATGCGTACCTGGAGAATGTCTCGGTTACTGTGCTTGCAAAAAGAATGCTTTTTACTTGAGAATTGTAGTTCTTCACCAAAATAAATATGTAAGCTTTTTGCAAACTTGGGCTTTAGCATTGCAGATATTTTGTACAATGAGATGAGATTCTAATGTAGCTGTCAGACAGGAAAAGTAATGTTTGCTGGGTTTGTACATTGACTTACTGTTGTGCCTAGAATTGGAGGAAAAAACCCAACGGTTGCACAGAACAAAGACTGATAGAGGAGGGACAATCAAAACGGCATTTTAATTGTTCTTAATTATGTAGCGGGTAATATATCAATTCCTGTCATTTTTCTATTTTCTGTTATAATTGCATATCAAAAAATAATCTTTCGGTGTTTTCAGTCTTTTTTTTTGTGTATTAATTATATGCAGTAGCATCTGGTAAAACAGAATTATTTTACACTTCTTGCAACACCTAAATTTTTAGGAACATGACAAGAATAACAGTGGGTACTTTTATCTCTCCTTACTGCAGGGACATTTTTGACTAAAAAGGGATTATTTTTTTCTTTTGCTTTTAGATCTTTCAAAGAACAGATTTACTGAAATTCCTCCTGATGTCTGGCTGTTTGCACCACTGGAAACTTTAAATTTGTATCACAACTGCATCAAATCCATTCCAGAATCTATTAAAAACCTGCAAATGCTTACCTACCTTAACATTAGGTGAGTAATGCTTGATATTTTTGGTCTTTATATAATTTATATCATTGTAGAGGTGGTATTCTACTTCATCAGGTCACTGAGTGCACTTGTGCCCTCATTTTGCCCAGATAGATAGAACTCTGTTGTTTGTTTGCCTTATAGTTGTTGGTTTAGGGCTAGCAGTTGTTGCTTCCTTTGTGGGAAGGAATTGAATGCATCACTAAATTTCAGTCAGTAAACTGTGGTAGCTGAGGGTAAGGAGAGTTTACAAAGTTTTCTTTTTTGTTTTTAATGTTATACAGACAGACAAAGTTCAGAAACTACATGTGTAAATTTGCTGCTCTCAAGAGAGTAGATTACTCTGGCCAGAAGGCCTGCCTCATTTTGCACATCATTTACATACATTGCTGTATTGCTGTTCTTAAACTTGGAAAACACATGGTTGGATTTTCTCAGAAGAACAGAAGATGAGTGTAAGCTGTAGAAGGAGAGGGAAATCTAGAAGAACCCTCTCAAAAAGACAGAGACCCCATTTTCCACAATATTCCTTGTTTCTTATATTGACTACATCAAGTCCAAAAGAATCTTCTTGTCTAAGAGCTATTTATCATGTGAGTTTTGGTTCCAGAATTTATTGTGAAAAAACTTTGTGAATTGATCCTTGAAAGGAAAAAAAAAAAAAACCACCACCAAAAAAAACCCCTACAAACTATGTCTCAAAATCTGCAACTATCAGTGATAATACGAGTAGTGTATTCTGTGGCAATTCTAGAGAGTATTGATGTTATGATAAAACTGCAGTGTTTTCTGATAGAAAGTTGACCTTTCTTCAGAGACCAGCAACAGCCCGTTTCTCTTAACAGTATTTGAGGTGCTGAATACAATTCTTTACATAGAAATTAAAGTAGCATGTACTTCTAACTGCTTGTTCCATGTTACTTCAAGAGTCCTCTCCTGTAATCATTTGCCTTACTGCTTTGTCTTCGTTTTTGTGTTCATGTCTGAGGACTGTTTTAGAAATGCATGAACACGTGGACTGTAGTAGTTGAAGAACAGGCTAAGATGCTGTTACAGAAGAAAACCATGTGATCTCAAATTCTAATTTTGGATTCAGATGACTGAAGAAATGTATTGTGCAATTCATAGTAAAGTAGGCAGCTCTCTTTAAAAAACAACCAAAAAAAAAAAAAAGGAAACCAGAGGAAACTGAAGTGATACAGAGGATAACTGTTTCATTGCCACTTTTATAACATTTAAAAAAAGCTTCCTTGCACATTGCATTTGCACTTCTCATGCTCTCCAACCAAAAATGCCTGTCATATCTGCCTGAAATACAACATAAAAAAGGAGACTTACTGCATATCTGCATCCAAAACTTACTTGGATTGTTCACTTAACATATTTATTCTGTTAATTTTTTACTTTTATAAAGATACTGATAGAATTTTACTTTCATTTTTAAATGGCAGTACTTTGAAACTTAAATGTTGCAGGGGCAAATTTATTTTTGTTTAGGTTTGCACCTCTATAAACTGTAGTCATGGATAAAAATAATGTAAAAAGCTTTGTATCTTTTTCAGTATGAAAACAGTGCTCTGATACATATAAGTTAAACAGTAAAACTTCTGAGTTTTTCTTGATACAGTGTGAATACAAATGTCAGTGCTTGAAAGTTGGGGGTTTTGTGGGTATTTTCCAAAAGAGAACTAACCTCTACACAGTTTTACTTAAAGCAACAGCAATTACTGAAATTTTATTACATTTATGTATGAAAGGAATTGCTTTCATACCTTATCTGAACAAGCTGGGTTTCCAATGGCTTATTAAAATGTACATTATTAGAAAAAAAAAGTGTGTTTCTGACAGTGGCAGTCTGCAGTTGGTAGTTTTTCCAATATGGATTTAAATCAAATTGTCAGTATATTTTTTGTGTACAAAGCAGACGTGCATGCAGTTAGAAAATGGTATACACAAAATAAATAAAATTTAAGTAAAACTTAGCTTCCAGACTATTGCCCAGCAAAGTAATAAATAAATGTTAAGGGCTTTTAGTGATGGCTCAGGAGTGACGCGACCACATGACATGAGAAGCAATCACCTTGTGTAAAGGTCTGTTTTTCTGAGAATATTAACTTCATATTGGTGGACTGTTACATCAGGTGGTCCTTCTGAAGGTACCAGCAGGATAAAAGCAAACATCAAACATGTCTTTTAATAGATTTCTATGTACATTTTAGTGTTAGATTCAGTTCTAGTATATACTCTTTCCATCAAGTGAGATGGAGATCTAAAATTCACATAGCTGAGAGAGGCTTCATCTGGTAAGGAATTCATGATGAAGATTGTAGCTTAAATTTAGATGAAACTGTAATAGCTGGAGAATATCTTCTGGAATAAGAGAAAAGTTGTACGATGTGCATCTCAGACTTTGTCAGGCCTAAAAAGCAGATTATAATCTAGCTTTGTTAATTTTTCTTTTTTCAAGTCGAAATCTTTTATCGACATTGCCAAAATACCTGTTTGATCTTCCACTTAAAGTTCTGGTTGTCAGTAATAATAAGCTGGTGTCCATTCCAGAAGAAATTGGAAAATTGAGAGATCTAATGGAGTTGGTAAGTACAATTGTGAACCATTGTACTAAAAGTTAAACTATAAGCAGTTTATTTACTGTGTAATAAAAAGTTAATATTTTTTTAAAAATATAGAACTACAATATGTAAATTCAGTTACTGCTTTTTCTTAGTGTTTGAGCTCAAATTACAGGTGTAATATATTGTAGTGTTTCAAAAATAGGGTTAAACAAAAATCAGTATGAGTTAACTGAAGTGTAAGAGGTTCAGAAATAAAACTGCTCTTTAGATCCATTTTATTTGAGTCCCTTGTATGTCACTAAAAATGGTGGGTTTTTTTCTATCTTCTTTGCAGTAGTAATAATTCTATTTATTATATTATCAAGAATCTTCTTTCCATCAGAAGAGTTCATCTCTGCTCTGTACTCTTACACGAGTTATGCCATTCAGTCATTGTTTTGTTCTGTTTTTCTTTCCTTCCCATTTCTACTATTCCTTTATTTTGATTGAGGTGAATAGTGATGTGTGATAATCACAATCTAGGTGTCTGTACAACAAGACTTTATTCTATGGTATACTCATGTTTTGTGCTTTGTTCTCCATGACTTCCTCTATAATTCTTAGTACTCTGGGCTTTTCTGATCATTACTCCATGTTAGGGTTAGACTCATGTGTTTTGGAGAAGTATGCACAATTACTCTCAGACCTGGCACCTGGATTAGGTCTGATTTTTTTTTTTTTTTTTTTCTTCAGTATATATATGACTTCTTTAGTTGTTGAAAGCAATCCATATCCTGTTTCCAGAGTAGCTGTATATGCCCTGGAGATTTCTTTTAACATGACCTAATTTCTGAGCTATAAATCAGCATTATTTTTTAAATGACATATTCTGAATGTTTGTGAGGCTTTTCTAGTGTCCTCTACTCTTTGGTGAGAAATTCTTTATGCTCACTTCAATGTCATAAGGATTTCAAGGTGGGGTCATTGCTATTGTTTACAGGAGGTGAATGTTTTTTCAGAATTGCAGTTGTGGTATTTTTGGTTTATTTCTCAAAATTGTCAAATCTAGAATGCATGTGTGATGACACAGATTAAGAACATACTAAAGAGTTTCAGTCCAATACCTGTGTTACACCTGTTTAGAACGTAAGTAATAATATACTTTTTTTTTTTAAAGTTGACAAATAAGCCACATGCTAGAAAGATGCTTTTAGGAAGGGAATCCCATCTTAAATTTGGTGATGTAGATAGAAAAGAACTTGCAATAGAGACCCAACAGTTGATCCCAAGCAACTTGAGAGATAATCAGCTGTGTGCAGACATCATAGTAGCCAGAAACAGATGAGCAATGCCTAAGCTGAAGCTCTGGAAGCATGTAGTGGAGAAGAAGGCTGGATTCATCTGGTGAAGGCTTTCCTTCTGGTTACTGCCTCAGCTTGCCTTTAAAAGCAGCTTCCAGTTTTTTCAAGAGATGTATATGTATCATTGTTACTTAATCTGGGAAACTAATCTCTAAAGTCAATGTTATTGAATCAGAAATAAAAAAGATTAGAAATTATGTTACAGGAATGTGATTGACTCAGTCTGGACTACATAATAATGTTAAATTAGTGGTAGAAATAGCTATAGTGTGTGTTCACTTAGTGCAGCTTTGTCACCATCTAGTGCTTGTATCTAAAAAGTTGGTGAGCCTGCTATTGTTCTTTGTAAATTTTTCGTTGCATAGATTGGTTCAAGGTAAAGAACAGAATGCAAATCATTCACTGGAAGTAGCACAAAAGTTCTTAACTGATATGGGACCTACACCAGGAACTCCTGATTCCTGTGCTATAGTTTCAATCTCAAAACTGGTCTTTCATTATTCATTGGTTCAACATTTTTTGATTGAGTTTCTGAAATGTGAATCACTGCTGAAGAAAAAATGAGTCCTGTTATGGTGGTACTTCCTTTTGTGGAAAAAAAAGACAGACATGATATCTTTTTTTCTAGTATGCTTCATAGTATTTTTGATAGCAGTCTTCCATTGTTTAATTTCATTTAAGGTGTTCAGTTAACTTATTAATTATATCTTTCTTAGGATATTAGCTGCAATGAACTTCAGGTTCTTCCCCAGCAGATAGGAAAATTGCAGTCACTTAGAGAATTAAACATAAGAAGAAATAATCTCCATATGCTGCCAGATGGTAAGCTGCTAGTCTTAATTTCTTTGATGTAGGTAAATTAGGTAAAGTGTTAAGATATCTGATTCTCTTTTTTGTTTCCCCCAATGCAGAATTAGGAGACCTTCCCTTGGTAAAGCTGGATTTTTCTTGTAATAAAATTACAGAAATTCCCATTTGTTACAGAAAGTTACGTCACTTACAAGTTATAGTTTTGGATAATAATCCAATGCAGATACCACCAGCACAGGTTAGTATTAAAGCATTCTAGTTCAGAAATTTGCATTAGGATCTTAAGAAAGAGGAAGCTGTTTTGAGTGATAACAATTAGGTTTTCATTTTTTCTAGCGATATTTCTTCTAGTGGGAAGCTGTGAGTACAAACTTAGTGTAGAAAGTATTTCTTGGGGTGCATTTTCAAAAGCCATGCTTTGTAATTAAGATTTTTGGTTTTGCTTGTTTGTTTCCCAACAGATATGTTTAAAGGGTAAAGTACATATATTTAAATTCCTCAGCATTCAGGCGTGCCTCAGAATAGATAAAAAGCCAGATTCTTTGGATCTTCCGTCATTAGGTAAACGAATCCCTTCCCAGCCACTCACAGACAGGTGAGTAGTGGGGTTTTGTGGTTTATTTCACTTTAGCATTTGCTATGAAGTGATCTTTCTATTACAGATAATAGCTGTAATTTCAGTACTTTAACTGTTCTTTATTTGGGAGTCATAGTATGTATTTTCTAAGGTCGTGTTACTGGAAGCTTAATTGAGTCATCCAAGTTGCTATGAAAAATTTTCACTGTTCTTGCTAAAGATTTGGAAATTGTAACAAAGATGTATTCTAATTTTTTTTTGATTGGAAAACCCAGCTATGTATTTCTCAAACAGATATGTCAAAACATTAGATGAGAAGTTCCCATAAATGTCCTGAATATAGAGTTAGTCTGTTGGATGGAAAGTCTGCCTCCCACATTATATATATATATATATTAAGGAAAAAAGCGTCAGTGAAATACCATGGATTTTTTTTTATTAGATTAGTCGGGGTTAAAAAGTGCAGAATATTTTGTTGGGCTTCTCTACTGAGTACCTCTTGAGTAATTAAATGAGTATGCTTTTGTATTTTCTGTTGTCAACTTGCCATTGGAAAAACATATGGAACAATAGTCTTTTTGCCTATTTTTAAAAAATGACAAGTGCAACTTGTGCCTCTGTGTGTTCAAGGCTGAAGGAAAAATGAAAGTAATGAATAAAACTTACACAGAACCATCTGAACCATCAAATTCAGTCCATGGTCTTGATCTTGGGCATCTGTGCCATAGGGAATTAGTCCACAGTGTCTGTAGATAGCTTTTAAATGCTCCTAAAAAGTGCAGTCCACAACTGCTGCTCAGAAGCCTCCACTGAACTTAAGGCCTACAGCTAAAATATATTGCAAAGGAAGGTGGTCATGGATGTTACCACTGTACATCATATTTGTAGTAGTGAGAACTTGTTTAATTAAACTTTCCAGATAATCCTATGATTTAAACCAAGCTCCAGTGCACAGTTGGAAAACAACATGCTGATACTGCCAATTTTATGTCTTCAGAAGGCATAAATGTGGAGGAAATACTTCTTGAATATTCAGGCAGAGTTAAACCATTATAATATGACAGCCTATTAGGGAATGTATATTTGCTGCTAATAGAAAACCATGTCTGCCAATAGAATTCAACAAATTGCCTTTTTTCAGAGGAAGCCTTCTTTTCTGAAGATGGTATTCTGAATGAAATAGAACAATTCTAAAATCGCATAAATACAGAGAGTACTGTAATTGTTCCAACTTTAACTTTGGTTTGATACTTTTTTTCTTAAACAACTCCTTTGGGATATTAGGAATTTGTTCACTGCACATGGGGTATTGTGTAAAAATTCTGTATCAGCAACTGCAGATGCATATAGAGAATATATTTTTTAAAGGATTTTATTTTCTTTCAGAAAAGTGAAACTAGCTTGTTTCATTCCTGTGTGTTTTTTGTGTTGTTTTTCTTAATGTAGTATGGAGGACTTTTATCCCAATAAAAATCATGGACCGGATTCTGGCATCGGAAGTGATAATGGAGATAAAAGGTTGTCCACAACAGAAGTGAGTATTTTTCAGTGTTGGATTTTTGTTATTTCTGGGGTCTAGAATTTTTCTTTCCTTTGTATTTTGTATAATATGAGAAATACTTTACTAAGTTGAATATAACATTCTGTGAAAATCTTTACAGTTGAGTTTAAACCATTAGGCTGACAGTATCAGACACAAATTATTTACGTATTGCTTTGACTTTTCTGGTTAAGGTTCATTCCAGTCCAAATTTCCTAGCTTTTAAAACTGAATTCTGACCTAAAGGAATTGTTTAGATCTTTTAATGTGTAACCAAATTTATTTGAAACTTTATTTTGTTATCAATTAATGTACATAAGAAAATGAAAGTATATTTGGACTAATAAACTTGTCTTGTATATGTTAGTAATCCTCATTGTTGTTTAAATTTTAATAAACTTCTGGATGATCCTCTAGGTTTAAAGTGATGAACAAAAATCCATATAAGTTACCTGTATATTTTGTAGAAGTATAGGTTAAGGAGCCATATTTAATAACAGTGATGTCAAAGCTGAATAGTGTAAAACAAAAGATTTTTGAAACTTGGGAGAATTATTACAAATGCAGAGCGATTGTTAGTGGGGAAAGCTGTAGAACAAGCCATATTACTAGCTGGAGGTTTTTAAAGAAAATTCCAAATGATTAGAAGTAAAGCTATGATTTTTTTTTTTTTTTAATTTATTTTATTTACCCCAGTGGTCTGAAAAGGGTCAAAGTAGTTGGAGGCTTTAGATAAGAAAGTACTTAAGTACAGTTTTCTTAACCCACTGAGTGGGGCTGGACTGGACCTCTTTGAACAAAATACTGTATTTCTCTATTATATACTGAACAGTTGTGTGTCGCTCCCTAAACTGTGATTCTCTTAAACTTCCTTTCCATCCTGTCAAAAAAACCCTGCCCACAAAACATCCCCATCTGGCTTGGATGTTATTTTGTCTGTCCTGGGAGCCATTCCTCATGATAGGGTCAGTAGCACCATAATTTGTGACTTCTTAGCAAATCCTAAAATAATTTATATGCAAGTTTTTTATTAAATTTGACTCTCTTTGCAGCCATCTGATGATGATACAATCAGCCTTCACTCCCAGGTATCAGAATCAACAAGGGAACAGACATTAAGGAATGACAATCATGTAATGGGAAGTAAACTTGATCCACAGAAAGGTACTATCTGTTGTGCATCTGTCATTTTAGGTAACATAAATACTTTTGCTTAGGTAATCTAATACAAGAAGATTGCACAAAATGGTATGATCACATGTTGGCATTGTATTTTCATAATTTCAGAAAGCGATATAATAATCACCAATAGACAAGACCAAAAGGAAAGAAAAAAATACTATTTCTAGTTCAAGGAGACGTGATTTCATTGTTTTGTCTTTATAGGACATTTTTCATAAGTACTTATCTCTCTCAGGAATAATGTTTGGTTGGGAGAACTGTTTAATACTGTCTTTTCTATTCTTCATCAATCCTCACTAGACCAGGAGGTGTACGATTACATCGACCCGAATGCAGAAGAGGGAGCTGTTCCTGAGCAAGGAGATGTACAGACTGGATCATTGCTGTCTTATATCAAGGTAGCAAAACTTGACAAAAGAAAAAACGTTCAGCAGATTTGTTTGGGGCTTTTTTGATTCAAATCTTAAGTTTGTTTTCCATTCTGTGTAAGGAACGGGGAAAACATCCTGAGAAATCCCAAAAAATAGAACAGAATGAGGACTGGGGAGATGAAAAAAGGTAAATCTTGATCTTTTTTGGGAAGGATTTGCTGATGGTGGTGTGTGAGGGTGGTTTTGTTCTAAGCTCCTTGCATATGGAGGAAAGGTTATATCAAACACATAGCACTCCTTTTGTGACAGAGAATGAGCTTATAGGAAGTGCCTCTTAGTTATTGTCCAGTAACGCAGCCATTTCTGTGTCTTGCTTTACTGAAGTCAGGCAAGTCACTAATGTTTAATTTTTCAGACTTCAGAAAGAACAGCTGCTGGCTGAAGATGATGATGAACTCAAAGAAGTGACTGACTTGAGAAAAATAGCAGCTCAGTTACTGCAGCAAGAACAAAAACACAGGTATTATTACAATGTTAGTTAAGGTAACTTTTGTTACAATTAATTTATTCTCTAACCTGCTTTATACACAAAAGTTCTTGAAACCTTACTATTCTGAAAAGTTTTGTCCAGCTGTTAAACAGTTAGTGACAGACTCTTTCAGGATACCCATCTTGTCTTTCATAAAATTGCTGTCTAGAGAAGCAGTGATATACCTCCTATGGAGAGCAAGAAATGAATGTGAAAGTCTCTTGATTTATTGGTTTGATGTTTAACTTTTTATACTTTTTTTTTTTCCAAAGCAGTATATTTAAGTAGGCATGGCTAATGCTCATATGAGTGATTATTGGTAACATGGTAAAATGACTTTGTCTTAAGTTTGGGTTACAGAACCTGCATATAGTCTGTGTGTGACTGGTTATTTTTATTCAAATAGACAGTTTAGGTTGTACTTCAGTCTGTGAGATATAAATTTCCTATGGACTAAAGGGGAAATTTGTTCAAACATTCTGTCAAATGACAGAGCTTATATATATTATGAATATATAAAAAAATAAATTGAACAGTTCATCCTGATGAACTGCCTGACTTTCTCTACTTATTGTTGAGCATTACAACAGGATTCTTGAAAGGGAACTGTAGAACAAGCAGCGGATTAAAGGAATGTAATAGAACAAGTTAACAACTGTGTAAAACAAAGAGCAGGAAGGAATACCTGGAGTTGCATAGGATGTGGACAGGCTAGGGTAGGAACCGTGCTCTCTCTGCTTCCTTTACCAAGCAGGCAAATGCCCAGCGATATACTTTGGTGAGAGTAAGCTCTTTCCTGAAAAGGAAAAGTTATAGTTATTAGTAGTTCATTAACTAAAATAGTTCAAGTTATTTGTTATCCCACAGTAATGGATTTAACTTCATGCCAGCTTAAATACTGGTTTTGTTTCCTTTGGATTTCTCTGCAATGAACAGCGCTGTCTTTCTTTTAAGATAGTTGAAATACACATGAAATACACATTAGAGAAATTCATTTCCTGATATTATAAACTTCAGAGCTTTAAAAATTCACCAGTGTTTTATATTAGTTAAATACAATAGCTGCAGTGGGGGGGTGGGAAGATGGGAGGTTGAGATAAAATAGGTTTTACTTAGAACTCTGCAGTGTATTTAAGAATTGGCTGTTCATATTGGGGAGGGAAAAATAAGAAGGAAATCTTAATGCTGATACAGCCTTATTACCAAAAATACTGCAAAAAGGGCTAGGAATGCTAAATTTTCCTTTATTATTCTATTACTCAAGAGAGAATAGTGTTTTTTTTCTTATATTAGCTTTTTATATGATGGTTATTTATATTGCATGTGATCTTGTTTGGTTTTAATATTTCCTGGTTATCTAGTAATTTGAAATACCAAGCCACTCCTCTTCTGAAGCACTGCAAATTAAATTTTACTTGTCATATGTTGTATCTTAAAGTATTCATCTTGCTAATGGTTCTGCTTTGCTCTTGAATATGCAATCTATTGTTAAGGTTTACTTTTTAGTTTAGCATTTATATTTTAACGCTTGCTTGTGTATCTTTAAGTACATGAGGGCAAGATCACCTCTATAAAATTTAGCCCTGATTTTGAATCCATAGTTTTGTGAATGAATAATTTATTGCCATAAACAGCGGTAAGAGTAATATTTAGAAGTTTAGTAAAGATATTTCTGTGTGTGTTTGTGGAAAATATGTTCGATCTGAGTAAACTGAATCCTCAGAAAAGTGCACATCGTGAAATAATTTCTCGCTAATCATATTTCTGTTCGTTCAGTGTGGCTTTTTAAAATATTATGCAGTCTCCTTTCTTTTTGCTTGCTATGCTAATGACTTCCCTGTCCTCTCCCATCAATCTATCCTGCTTCCTTCTTCCGTCTTTGGCTTTGGTGTGCATGAAATATGAATACAGACGAAGGCCATTAAGCTATAGAACTTCATTCAGTGAAAAACTCTTCCAGAGGACGAGGGCGGCAGGACGTGCATCAAGGTATAAAGGGTTTGTAGAGCTTCAGATTTCCAAAGTTAAATTGTGGATGAAAGAAACATTTTGGCCATTTCTTGAACAACAGAGTAAAGGGATAGGCTATGTTAGCCTAAGATATTTTGTTACTAAAAATAGATTGCAATGCATTTATTGTTCTTTAAGATGAAATACTATCTAAGGAAAATATTTAATTAGGCAAATCTCCAAAGAACACTTAAATGAGTCCAAATTTAGAAGCATAATTTCCCATACTTTTTTGACATGCTTTCTCTTCAGTTTTTTGTTTTTAATAGATACTTCAAGCATAGAATCTCAGGCAAAATATTTTTTTTTAAAGATATTTTGGCTTTAAAGTGATCACTTCCAAATTAACATGACCAGTCACAACTTGGTTTGTATTTGACAGCCATGAGGGAAGCATTTGCAGGTACACAAACCATACAGGTAGTAAGAAATCTGAAATGGGCTCTGTAGGTTATGCTGACACATAGGTGATGAATCAAGTGATTTCAGACTTCGTTACCTTATCAGCTGAAACTCTGTAACTTGCTGTGGATACTCCTGGTTGGTTTTTAAAAGAAAGCATAGTTTAGATTATTTAATCTTCATTAGTTCCAAATGAGCCTGTTTCAGTTGGCATCAAAGTTAAGTATGGGTTCTTACCTGACAGCAGTGATTTCCTATAACTGTCTAATTCCCTAAGAGCACAGTTTATGAACACAAAGCAGAGCCATATGTAAAGACAGTAGACTGTTCCTGAATGAGTTTAAAATCCAACTTTTTTTTCTGTGTGTGTCACTGTAACATGTTACGGATCCTAGGTAGTACTTGTTTGCGCTTGAAGATAGCTAACTTTAAAATAGCATTACCATCATTCACTTCATTTGTGTCCCTTAATCGTGATGTTTACTCAAAATGTGAAAGTATAGGTGACTGAGAATCTACTTTTTAAATTCTCAAACTTTAGAAAATATTTTTCAGTACCGTAATTGGTCTTGCCATCACCTTTCTCTCCCATCTAGTCAGCAGTAGATGTTAGGTTTGCATGACTAGAAAAATGAGTCAATGTTGGATTTCCAGTTTAATGTATATCAGTATGTGTCACTGTGTGTGCTGTTGAGTAATTTACATTGCAGAATTCCTATTGACTTTTAGAGCCCTTTCAAAATAATAGTTTGCATGCTGCCTCTGTAGCAACAGAATTTGTGTGGTTAGTGGAAACCGTAAGTAGGAAATTAATGGCAGTAGTAACACAATTCTTACTCAGTGATTCAGTATGACATCAGTAATTGATACTGATAATTGATCTGTTTAATAAAAAACATAATTTGGATTTGATGAGTTGTAGTATGAATGGAAACATTGCTGGAATCTTTGCACCATTTAACACCACACTTAGAAGAGTATGATTTCTGCATATGAGGTGCTTACACTTTCCTTTTGCATACTGAGTTTTGCATTGTATTTCCTGAAAGACAGTTTTAACATGACTGCAGTGATGGGGTTTTTATTCCCTCTTCCAGCTGAACAGATTATTTTGCCATGAATTCCTTAATCTGCAATTTAGTAAATTCATATTTTTTCTTCACTGTTTTCTGTAACCGAAAACTTCCAAGTTCCTTATTCCACAGGAAATGCAGATTTCTTTGGCTGGACTAGTGACTGCTAAACTGAACTTGCTATTACTTCCCCATCAGTATTTTTCAGGTTTTAAAGAGGAAGTTTCAAAAATGATTGTCTTGGTTTTACAAAGTATACTTTGTTTATAATAGACTTAGTTTATAATAAACTCAAACATTAATTATATACATATTTCATAGAAACAACATAGCTGAAAAGTGCCTGTGTACGTATGTTTGAATAGTAAGGAAAACATATTCAAGCTGTTTCATATAATGACTAAAAAAGAGATGGCTTGTGTTCCAATCATAAAATTTACACTGGTGTCAGTTTTGGTGCACATGTTACATCAAACTGTTTAGATGACTCAAATGTCTATTTTAAAAAAATATATTCTATTGCAATGGTCACATCTTGGTACAAAGTCTTTGAATTTCTCATAGCTTTCAGTTGGAAGACATAAGGCTAATTGGGAATTCTCTCTAAAAATTAATGACTTTAAAATAGCATGTTTATATTATGCTTTGATAATCTGTGCTCTGAATATTAATTTTTTGTAACTTTCTTCAGCCTGTAGTGTAATTTAATTCCGGAATGCACCCTCAAAATAAGTTTCTGAAGACAAAATGTAGGGAGCAGATGCTACAGACTGTAAATGCTGCAGACTGTGTTGGTTTAAAGACTTAAATTCTCATAATCCCATTAAATTGAGGTTCACACAGTGGGAGATTTAAACTACAGATGAGATTACTGAGCCCAAAGCTATCACTATAAACAGAGAAGTCTGATTGAAAGATCATCAGCCATTAAAAGTTAATGCTTGTAGTGCTCTATGTAATGAAATAAAGGTGCCTACTGTTTTACTTCCATTGTTGTTCTTCTAATTCTTTCTGATTCTTAGTACATTCTACTTCTCTGTATAATTCAGCATAAATCCACTTTGATCACAGTTCTGCACATGAAGTCAGTGTCGAAGTGTAACATTACTACCTCAGAGAATTCAAAATTATTCATTCTAGTTACTGTTCAACATAACACTTCTTGAAAATGTTTAATTTTAAGTGTTACTGATTGTTTTGTTATTTTAACACTTTAAACATTCATAATAGCTCATATTTTCTTCCTGTGTGTGCACATGTGTGGTATGTTTTCCAGATGAAAAGACATTTCTGAATCTCTGTGTAAGTTTTGGCTTTTTTGACTGTTTACCGTTTAGAAAAATTGACTTTCCATTGCTTCCTTTCTGCATTAGACTTTTCATTTAGTTCTTAGCCTGTGCTTCTTCATTTTCCACTTTTCCTTTTTCCCTGCATTTCCTTTGTACTGGCAGTGTTTCTTACTCAGCTATGTTCTTACCTGCTCCTATTGACTGACTTCTTGTGCCCAATCTGTGTATCGTTTCTTGTCTGCATTAGGTTGACTATCTTAGAATTTTAATGGACAGTAGGGCATTTTGTGTTGAGGGCAGCAAAACTTTACAAAGGTGTGAGATCAGTTGAAATAGTATCTATTTAGGGAGGAAAAATAAGAGGAGGCTTCATTTTGGTTTGAGTTACCAAGTTTTACTTCCTTAAAATTCAGAACTTGTAATATTTCAAGAGCTGGAAACTTTTGTTGATTTAAATAGAAGCAGGATTTGGCTTGGATTTCATATGTGTACACACATACATACTCTATGGAAAATGTTACCTTAATGTTCAAAATTTTTTATTTACAGGAGATAATACGCAGTGAAAGTAACATATTCTAAGAAAATGGTTCAACTACAAAGCTTTTAAATAAATATTTTTTTCTTTCTAGGCTTCTCAATCATTCGGTTTCAGTAAGCACAAGGAACAGGCCAAAGCAGCCAATGGAGTCTGAAAAATGGTATTGATATACTTAAATGTATCACATCTTTCAATATTTTATGAATTTAATTTTCATATTTATTCTGTTTTGCTACTGTCACCTTCTGTCATAATGTTTTTAGCTCAAGATGAAATAGAAACTACACAAATAATCTGGTCTTGAGCTGCTTTCTTTCCGATTAAAAAAAAAAAAATAAAAATAATCTGTTCTTCTGAGCCTTCAGGAAAGTTGATACCATCCAGAAACTAATTTGTGGGTCTGATTATGGCAGCAATTCAGATGCCTAAAGATAGGCATTCAGTGTTGTTTTAGATAACCAGTTCCAGTCCAGAAGATCATGTCTCCCATCGTTAAGTGCTGTGTGGATGTGTTAGATTGTGTTACGTAAAATGGCACTGTAGCTTAGGCATCTAAATTTTTCTCCCTGGCAGTCCTTTTGTGCTCTTAACAGCTGTTGCTGGGAGTTCAGCCTGCAAAACCTTTACTGTTTGTGAAAGATGTGTCAATGAGGAATCCATTGTCTGCAGGAGATGTACTTATGCTCTTTCCTTGAATTAAAAAACCACCACAAACCAACTGTAAAAATACCTTGTCTTTAGGAAATTGGGAAATCACAGCTTCCCATTTCTGACTACTTGGTGAGAGAGAATTTAGCAAATTTCAGCCTCCCCCCCTTCCTTAAGGAAACCTAGATCAGTTCTTTTAAGACACAGTGTAGATATTTGGGTGTGATGCATCCTATTCTGACTGTCTTCTCTCTTACTGGTATCTGCGGTTTTAAAGAGCTAGTCGCACACATGTCCTGTGGTTACATGAACCATGCTGCAACTATTACTCCTTTTCATTTGTAACTTTCTAGTCCTTGATTACTTAACATATAGTTTCTGTTCTTTGGGGTGCTGTCGCCTATTGTAGTGGAGAGCTATGTCAGGCCTTTATATTATCAGGTAATCCAGGAAAGGTTAAATTTACCTTTCCCCATTTTGTTAATGAAACAGAAACAGTTATGAGACTTACAACAAAGAAACACCCCAAAAAAAACTCAACCATGCCATCCCCTCCTTAATTTTGAGATGTGCACAAAAGAGCAGGTAGATATTGCAGGCTATTTTTATGTGTTTATTATTATATTTTATTGCACTGATATATAGGAACCCAAATCACACACTGCATAAGTAACATACAGAGAGTAGAAAGACTGTCATTTCCCTAAAGAATTTACACTTGCAGAACATGTCGCCGTTAATAGGTACATAGGTATCAACGACTTACTCATTGCTGCAGTTGCTGCAGTTCTCAACTGGATTGCTTATCAAGCTATTGGATGTGATTCAGACAAATATCCTATGCCTAACAGCTTTAAAAAATGGCATTATTGGTTTGAGGCAAGGAAAATGAGGGAAAAGGAATACAAAGTAGCAGAAGCTAAGTGACTAGTTGCTTTCCCTTTAGGATTTAATATAATTTCTCAGGGTGTTATGCCCTTCTTGCATACAATCTGCAGTTATTAGCCTTTTGGTACACTGCACAGCTTCTAAGCCAGCAGAATGTGAAGCAAACTTCACAGAAAGATGTTCAAGGAAAAATTTGAAGTTACTCTAAATCTAAACATCTTTTCTGGAGAACTTTAATCTCAGGCAGTCGACGTTGCAGAGTGTTATTTGTTGAGATTTTGCAGTTTCATTATCCCATCTAAAAATGTTTTTCCTTCCCTATTAGCCTAAGTTTCTACTTTACTGTACAGAACTAACAATGAAATGAACCATGTTAGTATTTCAAAAGTTGTAGGGATCAATCTTTTGTCAGCTTTGAACAACATGTTGCACTGGTTGCTTTGAGAAATGAAACAGCATTAGTAATCTTGAAATCAACATGGTTAAGAAAAAGCTTTATCTGAATAAAGTACTGTAGTGTGGAAGACCTATTGATAGCATAGGGTAAGGGAGAGTGAAACAGGATTTGAGGTTTTAGTAAAAACATCATACTTTTTAGCCACATTGTGAGATCCTTATACAACACAGGTAGCTGAAAAATACTGTAGTGCTGCAGAGAAGCTGCTTTTTAAGTGTTCACTTTTTTTATATTTTAAAATAACTTGGGTTTAGACTACACAAAAAAGTAGTAAATTTCATAATGCCTCTTATCTTAATTTTCAGTGTCTCAACGGATGAGGTGAATTCCCCAGTGTCCCCATACAGCTGGCAGGTAAATGCTCAAATGTAAATGTGGTAATGTGGTGGCTTCATATTTGAGTGATTTTTGTTGTTGTTGTTAGATTTTGGTATCTGGTTTTGTATTTCTGGCAGAAAGCTTTACACATTCATACAGCTACTTACACACAGTTGTTATATGTGTGTAATTGTGGAAAATACAAAACTTTTGAAGAACTTATGCTTCAAGATAATTTGAATTGTACGTAGTGGAGGCCTTTTGCTTTAAGAGCATATGGTGCTAGCTTTAAGATCTTGGAACTAGTAAGTTTTACTTACTTGGTTTTAGTATTCATCTACATATAAATTTTGTTGCCTCATGATAATGTTTTTTTTAATTTCTAAATGGTTTGAATTATGTAGGTCTTTCATTCCCCATACCTGACTGAGAAGCTTGCATGGTGTGATAAAATTGCAGTGAAACTGTGGAGAGTACTTTTTTTATTATTTTAGATTTTAATCCATTAGGTATTTACAATTGCTTCAAATGGCCTGATATTCTGATATGAAGAAATAGTTGGAAATGGGGTTTTAGCCTTATGAAATGGTCCCTTCAGATTGTCTGCTTTAAGTTTTCATAAAATAGACATAGTTATTTTAAGAATAAATTTATTTTAGCTATCTCTTCAGAATATGTTGCATAATACAGTGCTTTGAAAGAGATTATTTTCACAGCTAGTTGACGTGTATAACCTTTTAGATAGGACCAGCAGATCTTAAACTGTCTCGTAGCCATTCTTTTTCTGTGCAGTCAGTATTTAGATTGAGAAATTAGATACGCTAGTGGCTAACAACACTTCTAACTGTTTATTTTAAATTTATTTATGGCAGTCTTGGGTGCCTTCCTAACATACCTGAAAAAATTAGGCTCAGTGCAGAAAAGGGTGTAATTTTCTTAAGAATTATTTCATAGATTGTTTTTCTTCTATGAAATATGTTTTAGGATATGAAATAAGTGTTTTCTGCCAGAATCACCATCAAGACTGGTAACACTTTCATGTCGTAAAGCTAAATTGAGCGTCAAAAAACTCATAATTCTAGTTCATAATAGTATGTTTTAATGCACACAAGGTATATATACCTTTTACGTAGAAATTTTTCTGAACCTTATAGCCACTGGAAAACCAGAAGGATTCAATGGATGAGCAGCATTGGCCAGAAACACAGCCAGTGATTTGGCAGAATGAAGAAAGGAGGAGAAGTAAACAAATTAGAAAAGAGTATTTCAAGGTAATGGGGGAGAGTGTGGGTGGATGACACATTTCTTTTTTTAAAATGAGTGTAGAAGAAACTATATAGCTAATTAAAGGTAAGGAAACCTCAAAGGTTGTCATGCTTTTAATTTTGCATGTAACTTGTGTTTTTTTATTTAGATCTTTTGATTTCAATTTTTTATATATATATATATATATATATATATTTATATATATTTATATATATATATATTTATATATATTTATATATATATATTTATTTAGATTAATGTGAGAGTGCAGGAAAAACATGAGGAAAAAATCGACCAAAGACTTTGTTTATCCTTTAAAAAAAATGAAGTCATTTACAGTTGTCTTCTGGTAAAGCCAGAAACTAATCTTCAGTCATTGGTCATTCCCCATCCATTTTGAGATTTGGGGTTTTTTTTTGGTAGTACGAGGAAAATATAGATTACCTTTATGTGCAGTGTGGTTATAAGAATGATTTATGCATTTTGGTTCTCACTGTATCGATTTGCATTTTCGAGAGGAAAATTTTCTCTGTATTACATTGCTGCTGTAGTGTGTATCATTGGTCACCAGATGTCAGTGTCTGCTTATTAAAAAAAACAGATGAGCTGTTATAGCAGCATTAGATAAAATTCGTTAGGGGTATGGCTGAGAAATTGGAAAATCCTGACCAGTGCTTTGTTGAGTTAAAATTAAATTTGTCGCTCATTAAATTAGTTTCTTGAGTCTTTGCCATCAAACATCTTTATGAAATGCTAAGGAACTTCAAATAAATTAAATTCTAGGAAAAACAGTGTGTGCCATACAGCTCAGATACATTCTTGTGATTACAGAAGCTGTTAGTTTTTTTTTTCCTTGAAGATTTTATGGACTTGTGTCTTCTTCCCAGGGTTTTTAAATCAATTTTAATTAATTTTGCCCTGCAGACTTTGAGAGGAAGGGGAGAAACTTCTATGTAAAACAGGATTCAGTCATTTATCTTATTAAACAGTTGTGTTATCAATATGGAAGACCTGCATTAGTGATTCCTCATAGCTTTAAAGGATGTCTGTAAATGTTAGTACAGACTGCAGTTTTGAGCTCTGTGATGGAAGCAAATACCTGACAGCATATTACATAAACTATAGACATGTCTCAAAAGTGAATTAAGCAGACTGTACCAGTAACAAAAAGTACTGTATGACTGAGTTTCATTTGCAAAACCAAGGCAAATAAGCAGGTGAAATGACATCTGTCTTCCATGGCAAACTGGGGTAAAAAGAAATAGGTGCCACTGCTGTTCTGAGAAACCAGTGAAAATACAATTCATATTGTGCCCATGTTTTCTTGGCAAAAAAAGCTCATTGAATATCTGTACTGCCAAACATTACTATCTTAAGAATACATGCCAAATTGCTGCAACAAGTGTCACTAGAACAAGGAAAACTTACTTGGATCAACCTCCAGAAATATTTATAGAGCATCTTTATTATACATGTAATATATTTCATTGTGCAATTGTACTGTGCCACAGAAGAGTAGGAAAATGCCCATGAGAATCAGAGCTCTTTTGCTTGTGGCATTGCACCAAAGTCTCTCTGGAACCTGAAATCTTTGTTGCGTTAAATACGTAAAAATAATCTTACCACTGAAGACAATTTTATCAACCAAAATGCTGTGCTGCTTTATTTTCTGAAATAGTTTGTAGTTGTTTTGGATCCTAGCTACATCCAAGCTGCAATTCTTGCTAGCATATCCACAATGGAAAATAATTACTATGTGCTTGCTTTGATATGGTTAATTATTGTGGAAGAACATGAACACAGAACTGGCCAAAGGCCTGTATAAGCACAAGTTGGCAGCGAAGGTCTGCAGGGCATAGAAGATGAGGCTTTGCTTTATCAGCTGCCAAAGTAATATATTCCTTTGTACTGTAAACTTACGGGAAATATACCTAAGAAGAGAAATATCCAGTCCCTGGATATATGTAATAGGCTCTGCCTGACCCCAGAACTACCTGCACTCTGTGCATGGTTTAAAAAAACCAAAACAACAACAAAACAAAACAAAACAAAAATATCCACAAACCCCTCCCTAAAACTCCTCAAAACAAACACAAAAAACCCTCAAACCACTAAAAAACCCATAATAACAAAAGAATCCCACAAACCAACAATTGACACTTTATTTAATCACTCTTCAAAAGATGTGTTTAATTTGCACAGAAAATGAACAGCAGTAGGATAGCTAACAAAGGCTGTTTGTCCTAGAATTCAATTCAGACCGAAGAGCTGCTGTTCATCATTGTCAGCATTGTTCAGCATGTAGTTCAGAAACTGTTGAAAATTCAACTCTCTAAAGCGGTTCAGTTTTACAGCCCAGCAGTGCTCATAACTTTGAAGATGACAAGCATCTTCTATGAATAACTAAGAAATAAAACTCCATAAGAGCTTTGTAAGCTTGCATGTTTATTAATATTAAAGAACAGCATTGCAGGTTAGGCATCTTTAAGAAATTCTTCTGAGTAAAATCTATATGTACCCCTAAAAGTCAAATCTTTGAAGGAAAACCATCCTTCCAGTTCCAGAGTTGGTCTTTTAACTTAGCCAGTTATGTGTTATATAACAGAGATGGGTAGGCCAGCCATATACCCACAACGCATCTATCAGAGCTTTGTATTGATGGGTTTTTTTAATTCTAGTTGTGTGGGTTTTTTCATTTTTTTTGTACGCTTACTCTGGAGACAATGAAATACAATTATTTTCGTAAATACCACTTGTATAAATTTCTTCCTTCAGTACCTCAATTTCCCCCACTTTTAGGATAATAGGGAAGTGGGACACCGGTAAAGGCAGTGTGCAACGAATCAGACCAACTTGTGGAAAAAGTGCTGATCTTAAATAGATAAAAGGATGTGATCAGGCTTTGAAGTTGTAAAGGAAGTCTTGATTTATTTTTTAAATTTAATTTTTTACAATGTCAGGTCAATCTCTCAAAGTGTAATCAATCTTAAAGTTACATAACAAAATATATTATAAAAGTAACTTTCACAGATTGCATAACTTCTAACAAATCATGCTTCAGAGCAGCACTTGAGATCTTTTTACTTGGATCAACTGTCATACGCAGTCAGAGTTCATGTTATAAAAGTACTTAGTTTGAAAATACTCTTACCCTCTCATCAACATAATGAAGATCTTGACTAGCCTGGGGACTAGATGTTCATTTCCTGTTTTGTTTCTTCTTTGCTCCCTTGATTCTGTAACATGTTTTTTTTCTCAGCAGCTTCACCAGTAATAATTAACATCTGAGTGATATCAAGCCATTTAGTTCAAATGAAAACCATACTTCCATTTTAAAGTACTAATTGTGTGTGTTTTGCAGTATAAGTCTTCCAGAAAGAGTTCAAGTGGAAATGAAAATGAGGAGGTGAGAAATAGTGTGTAAAGTATTTAAGAAAACGTTTTATTCATTTGTCTTTTATGAACACCTGTGAGCCACAGTCACAGAACTGGAGAATATGGCTGAGTATGTGCAAACAAACTTTGCATTCCAAAGCCATAGTAGAAATAAGTATTATACTGCTTCATTTGAAAAAGTCATCGAGATTGTGTACTTGGGAAAAGTAGAACATTCACTTGCTTCAGTAATAGGAAAGTTAATTCACCTGTCAAGCAGAGGAAATGTAAAGGTAGTATTTGACACAAACAGTGAACAATGCTTCCTTGACTTACATGTTTTTAAATTGAGTTACTGCCAGTTTGTCAACGTACTTGGCAAATGTTGCATGTTTCATGTATTTTGTATTTCATAATTTCATGTTTCTTGTTAAATCATAATTTTCATTTTTATAATTTCATCTCTGGTTTCTTTTTAGCAAGACAGTGATAATACTAATGTGTCCCCACAGTCTCCTGTGTCGTCTGAGGTACAAATTGTGGTTTTGTTTTTCATTCAACAAACATTTCTTTATGTGTGTTACTTGTCACCAGGTTTTCCATGCAGATATAAAGCTGTTATTTTCCCTTGGAACTGAAGTTAGAAATGCTTCATCATAATAAAAATTCATAAATAGATAGAAACTAGAGACAGATATTACAACTTGGTTTACCTTTGCAACCATCTGATCTCTCCTAGATTTTTTTTTGACTGGTGTGTAGAAAGGTTTATTGCTTTGTCTCATCTTTCTTAATGAAAACAGCTAATAAAACAAAAATCAAGTTTGCCATATTTTGAAGGCAAAATGCACTAACCATCCTGAGGATTTTAAGTAGAACTTGTAGTTTAATATTTTATATATCACAGGGAACCCAAAGGTACTGGCAGTTCTTAGGGAGTTTCATCCTTTACGATTCTGACTGTCACGTCTGTGGTGCAGCCTTGCAGCTTCATTCACCGGTTGCTTTCCTTTCTAAGAAATGTCCATGTAGTCTCACTGTGGCTGCAATATTTTCTACCTCATGTCACTAAGGAACTTGTGGAAAAAGAATGAGAACATCTCCCAAATACAGTGAAATGAGTTGAAATAAGGATATCTCATGTACATACCAAACTACCATGTGCATCTCTTTAGCTGGTGAAATAGGAAAAACCTGATCTTCATAATTGAAAGTAAACATTTCTTAAGAAATATTTTGATGCTAAGCATTGGGTGGATATTTGCATTTGCTTACAGCTGGCTTAGAACTCTGTTCACAACATGGTTTGAAGTAGTTTGAAATGGTTTTTGAGTAGATTTTAGTTAATGTGGTGCTGCTTTTCTTCCTCAGTAAGATAATTTTTTCTATGTATAGTGAGGTTACTTTCATCCTATTTATTTATACTGTCCCCTTCAAAAGTGTGTTAGAGTTAAGCAGAAGGGCTCACTTCTTAGGCAAAAATAATTTAAACACTTTTTTGGTGGGAATAAAAGTTAATTCTTGTCATGAATGGAAGAAAATTGACTTTGTCTCTTTTAACAGGATTATGAAAGGACAGATAGTAACACTCATGGTCCATTTGGTCTCAAACCAAGGTCAGGTAAGCTGCTGTTCTCCAGCTACTGTTCTCTAACATAGCATGGTAGAACAGATAGAACAGATTTCCTGGGCTGGAATGGACGGTAAGGATAGCAGATGCATGAATTGGAATGAATATGAAGAGATGCCACAGTACAGCAATCAACTCAGTGTACTTATTGCAAGTCTAGTACTTGGAAAGACATAGACAGCTGCTTTGGTAAAGGAGTAATTGAAAGTTCCTCAAGTTTGCACAGTGATTTTTTTTTTTTTAAATTATTTTAAAAATTGTTTTCCTCACTGATTTATTTTGTGCATGTTTAGTCACTGTCAAAGAACAGGAAAACAGCATGCAATTGTTTTTGAGACATGATGGCTAAGGTGGGAGGTTTTCAAGAGAAGTAGATTTCTGTAGTTTGTCCTATGAAAGGATGCTTTGAGCAGAGTTTTGCCAGGAGTTTTATGGGTTAGTGTTTTGCACCCAGACTCTTCCAAGACTCTGCCATACGCTTGTAAGAAAGTTGTATTGTCTAAAGCAGACTTTCAGTCCTCTGAAATCTAGATTGAAATAATACTTTTTTTGTTTTAGTTACAGTATTCTTTTGTTTGCAAGTGTTTCTGCGAATATCAGATATCAACAGTATAAAACATAGTTTGGAAAAGCCATTGTGAAATCCTTTTCCATGTTAATAAGGCTGTTCGTTCTTAAGGGAACAGTCTTTGTGCAAATTCATTAAGAAAGAATGATGTCAGCTCTTCGGTTGAATTTCATTCAGTGTTTATGGTAGCAAAGCTTGACTTCCTTAATACTAGCCTGTGAGCCATCAGTAGTAGAGTATGTCTGGCTGAGGTCATGCAAGTGGCTTCTTCAGGGCCTCTAAATCACTTCAGATTTGTTAGCACTTATGTGAAACTCTCTCTGTGCCAGAGATACTTAGGTTAGTTGCATGCCTGGCTGTGATCATTTAGAGGCTTCTGAGTGATCTACGTGCAACTTTGCCTGCAGGAAGGTTTGATAAGAGGAAGCAGGCTTGTTAGGACTTCCAGCCCATCTTTTCATAGCGGGGTAGTAGGCTTCCTAGGAGCCGCTGCCAGCTCACATCTGAAACAGCAGCACCCCTTTCACTCAGTTCTAGGAAAGCGAATGGCATTTTCTTTCTTAGTTACAAGCCAAAATTTTAGTGGTTTTAGATGCTTCCATAGATACTGCTGGTAACATGCAATTGTGTTTTTCTGTATACAAACCACATACTCTTATAATGTATAAGAGCAGTGATTTTCAAGAGTACCTATAAAATTTCTGTCATTTTTGATTGTTAGATCTCTTGCTAAAATCTAGACTGTTAGAAACAATATAGAAAGTTATAAAGGTGTAAGTTTTAAATTTTTTTTTTGACTCAACAGCATGGGACAAAATACTTAAGGATGCAGTAGTATTGCTACAGAAGAGTTTTTATTTGCTGGTGTTCTATAAAATAATTGTCATTTTAAGGCTTTCTGACCATGAATAGTAAAGTGAATGTAATTAACAGACCTACTTTTTAAAGAACTCTGAACTTGTAGATGTGATGTTTCATATTTTTCAATTCTTTAATAAGCAATCATTGTGTCTCTGAATATGCACACCTAACACTCGTGCTTCTGTGTGTGTGTATATATATTTTAAGTCTCATTGTAAGTTCTATCAGGGAGGTCTGACCTTTTTTTAGACTCTGTAAAGATTTTGTACTTGATTAAAAATAAACTACAATTAATACTTTCAAAGCTAGATTGCAAGATATGTTTTTAAAAGTGCAAATGAAGTTGTATATCTCAAACAGATATCTGAATATTGAAGTCAATTCTATCTCCATATTTTTTCAAGTTATCTATTTGCACTTAAGACAATCTGTGTATTTTATTTAAAAGCTTCATAGACAGCATCTTTTACATCAGGATACTTAAATATATGTGTTCTGGGAAGTTTTGCAGCTTTTCCCCATTTTTATTCTTGATGGTAGATTTTTAGTCATTGTATTTCTTTAATCTGCATTATGAAAACTAACTTCACTGATGTTTAATAGCTTTCATCCGTGCATCACGCCAGGACTACGGTGCAGTCGATCCTGGATTTACAATGAGGAGGAAAATGGAGCATTTAAGGGAAGAAAGGGAACAAATAAGACAGCTTCGCAATGTAGGTACCATTATTTACTGTATGGGTGCAGTGTGTTTAGTTTGCTCTGTGCCATAATTTAAACCTTTATAATAAAAGCATACAAATCATTACAGTTGTGCAAAAGCATCTCTGTAGTGATATTTGTTTGAGGAATATCATGTAACAGGCTGTACTCGTCCATCATTGGTCCAGTCAAAACACCAACCAGGAACAAAATGGGTTTTTTAGCTGAAAAATGAAGTGAAATGAAAAATTAATTTAAAAAAAAACCAAACCTTTTTCAGTTTCTGAAGTTTTAGGTTTTCCTAAGGAGACGGTAAGTCTGCTTGTGTTTGCTGATATTTGAAGAAAGATGGTCATAGTCTTCTCAATAGCCAAATGCTTTTTGAGTGTAGAAGGTTGCTACAAGTTATACAATACTGAATGGGATGTAAATTTCAGACTTCCAGTAAGTTTTCTGTGCTCAAGGTATTTAACAGTTAAGCAGCTCTGTTCTCCATGACAGTACTATTCCTGGGGGAGTGACTTTCATGAAGGTTGTTTCTGTCTTGTCTGATTCACTTCCTGAGCAGTGAAGGCTTGTTGCTGGCGTGGGAAAAAGCATTCCCTTTGCAACACAAGTGTGGGAACTTCTTGGCCATGCTTTCCTCAGCTATTTAACTGTCATCTGTAGAAGTGAAATAGTCATGCCCAAAGTGATTGTTTCCCTCTTTTTTTTTTTTTTTCTCCCTCTTTTCCTCCTAGTAAAATTGTGTATCATTTCAACCCACAAGTTCTGCACACTAACAGTATTCAGCCTGATGTTTCTGTCCTTAAATTCTGTGCTTTCCTGTTATAAGAGGGGAGTTCATCATATGGATTTGAGGGCTATGTATCATGGTAGTTGTTAGCTGAATGTCTTTTTCAATGTCTGTAGTTGCATCATTAAAAAAAAACACACAAAAACGAAGGCAATGTATGGTTAATGATAAAGAGAAAAGGACACTTGTACTCAGTAAAGCATGAGTTGACTACATTTACTTCACTTTAGTAATAAAATGGCCTTTTAAAAGTGAATCCTTTAAAATACCCTGGATTTAAAATTAAAAAGTAGCTAATGTTGAAAGTAACTTACTTATGGACTTTTTAATAGAATCTTGAATCAAGGTTAAAAGTAATTTTGCCTGATGACATTGGAGCAGCATTGATGGATGGAGTAGTTCTTTGCCATTTAGCCAATCACATAAGGCCACGTTCTGTTGCCAGCATTCACGTACCATCGCCAGCAGTGGTAAGTCATTTATCTCACTTTTGTTCCATCTTGTGTGAAAACGAGCTTGTGAAGTTCAATACTAAAATACCGCGAGTCATGTTTACTGTATTAATTGGCTACATGCCTCACTTTAATTCTTCTGCAAGATGCAATAAACAAGACTCAGAAGTTTAATTTCAGCTATTTTCATATATTGAGTCTTCATAGAATGTGTTTTGAGTTTTATCAACTGTAACTGAATTTGCATCAGAAATATACAATCCTTCATGAATATATAATGAAGATCTAACATCCTGTCTTTACAGCCTAAACTCAGTATGGCAAAGTGCCGAAGAAATGTTGAAAACTTTCTTGATGCTTGTAAAAAATTGGGCGTTCCACAGGTATACTAATTGCTTTATTGAGTATTATTAATAACCACAGAAAATATCAGCAAATACTGATGTTGAGTTTTGTGGGGGGCCTTTATTCAGGGAGAAATAGTGATTATATCACTGACCAGTGATCTTGAAGATAGGAAAAGAAATCCCATTTCTGGCCTGTGGCATGAACTTGAGGAAGCGCTACTATTTGGATTTGTAGTCAGTTCCTTACAGTAAAAATAATACTGACCTCCTTGTAAAATAAACTTGAACTATCATCTATACAAAAGAACTGATGCAAGAAGAGGTTGTTGTAATATTTGAAAATCTTAAGTTTAGAAACTCCCTTTGGCATGAATTTCAGTGTCTGCCTAGAACCAATCTCACAATTATAGAAATATGTAGCCTAACTGATTAGCTATCTTTTTTTAGCATGGCCATGGCGGCAGCCCTTTATTCATGCTTCTGTTGCTCAAGTTCATCCTCTTGCTTCCCTGTATGAGGGAAAAAAACCTAAAAAATAATTTCCTGGATATTACAAGACACAAGAAAATCCCTTAACCCTTTTTGGTGCAACAAGAAAATTAGTTCATGGATTTAGAAGGCTGGGTTACTGCTCTGCCACAGCTCTGTCTAGTGTGGAGCCACAGGCCGTTCAGAAGTTGAGATGCTAAAATTTACCTCCTGAATTACATATAACACCAGTTAGCAGTTGGAAAGGTTGTCCAGCTTGTGCTGAATTTTTAAACTGAAAGATGACTTTCTTGGGGAATGGCTCATTACTGAGGACTCAGTCTATCAGCACTTCCAAGTTCTTCCATAGGAAAAATTGGTAATAAGGCTATAAAATTACAGAAGGGGAACACAGGCCACTGAGCTAACTTCTCATCAGCCTGGTTTTCTTGCTCTGCACATGAAAAGAAACAGTCTTTGGCTTCATGAAATTAGCAGTCTTTTATGTATCTGCTCATATCATAGTTTAACAAAACAGATCTTAGATACAATTAGTTGCTGGCCATTCTGTTATTGTGGAGAACCACATGCGAAATTTAAGGCCAAAGATGATTTCTGTGCAAGTGTCTTAGTGATGTATGTGTGACTTAAGAGAGGATGTGCTGGTTACCTGACTTGGGGGAAAAAAAGAATGAATCTTGATACATGTGCTGCTTTATCTTTCAGGAGAGACTTTGCTTGCCTCATCACATACTGGAGGAAAGGGGTCTAGTGAAGGTTGGCCTCACAGTTCAAGCTCTGCTTGAATTGCCTGCATTGAAAGTATCTCAGCTTTCGTCCATGTGACGTGACTTCTTGGAAGCTAGACAACTTACCATTCGATCTGTTGATTTGGATTGTTCTGAGGCAGTTCAGCTTCTGACATGGGAACACTCAAGCCATCAAAAACTAATATCTGTCCAGATGCTGTAGAGACCCTTACTTTGGAGTTGTATGTGAAAGCCTTGGAGTCAGCTAACAGTTAAAAGGACATAATTCTTATTTTTTTTCTTTTGTAGTTGGATGCACAAAGAGACTGTGGTAGCATCAGGTTGTCTTTCCAGTTAATTTAAGTTAGGAGCTGCCATTTAACATCTCAGTGTTACAGTTAAATGCTGGATTTCTTTTCCTACATTGAAAATGTTGTTTGAATTTAATTTAGAAGTACAAAGCACACACCCTCCCTCACTTTAATCTTTCAAGTCAATCGTTTGATTTAAAGGTAAGACAAAAATGTAGCGATGGTATGATGGTAAAAATGCGTGTGACCGATCACTTAGAATCCACTTTCACACCCTCAGAAAGCTTAATATTTGTGTTCTTTATTATTTGCACTCCTGATTGTAACACACACTTCTAACATTGCCAGTATTTAGTCTGAGTGTATGGTGATTACACAAAACAGTATACAATGGGAAAAGGACACATTTTATTGGGTTTTTCCAGTCTTCTAGATTGGTGCCAAATATTTTTTTCAGTTGTACTGTAGATTGTTTACATGTGAAGTGCCTGTGTAATTGATAACTCTTAATAGTCTTAAACATTTTTGAAATTTCTTTGTTTAAAATAGATAAAATGGAAATTTTTAAATATTTTAATAGTTTTTTGTAAAATCAGTACGTGAAGATTTAAGTAATACTTCACATTTTTGATGTTGGGTGTTTTAAGTTTCTTGCACAATTTAATTGGTTATTTTGTTGTCTAATAATTAGAAAATGCTGTAAATACTTTTTATTTATGATATTTAATTTGATAATACCTAATCACTTTTGGTTTAATGTATTGTTGAACAAGAAAAAGTTGTCTACTTTGTTTGGGACAAATACACACAGTAAGACATGAGGACTAGTGATGCATACAGAGTAATTTAGGACCTTTTGATAAAACTGCCAAAATCTCAGGTTTATGCTGTGACTTTCAGGATTTTGTGTAATATTGCTCCTGATCTCATGTTACATTTTTACAACAGGTATATCCATAATTTAATTGGGAAATATCAGTGTTTTATCTTTTTAGTGTTTACAGGATTTATTGTGTAATTGACACAAGTGTGGCATAGCACACAAATCAGTTTGTACAAATGTCACTGTGCTGAGACATTAGATTTTTCTGGGTAAATGTGAAAGAAAAACTTCCACCCTGGTGGTTTTCTGAAAGTTCTGAGTTTATATATTTGTTTGCTTCTGCACAATTCTCAGTGTTTTGAGAACATTATGAAACCATACACAATTGAGTTCTCCAAACAAGTTGGAAATTTCATAATTTTAGTAATAAATCTATTTGCATTAGTTTGTACTTTGTCAATAGGTAGTTTAATTTAAAAAAAAAAAAAGCTCTGACTGTCACAGATCTTCTGTTTCAGGCTAGGTTAATTTCAGTGGGGGGTATGTTTGCCAAGCATATTACAAGATTTGATTCTGTTCTATCCAATTGATCAAGACCCCATATAATTCATAAAAGAATGAGGGAGGGGTATCATTTACTCCTTACTTCATTTATTATAGTCCTTAAAATCAATAGCTGAGAGGAAAAATAACAAACATTCTTTTTTTTTAAAGAGACACATTATTTTTAAATCCATTGAAACAAGCTGATTCATGTGTAATAGTTAAAAACTACTCTTATTCATATAGTTTTTTTTCTTAAAATACAGTTCATGGAGGCTGGTGTAAAATTTAATTTGCAGAGTCCTAGATATAAATCTTGGGTTACATAAACACTTGTTTAAAGAAACTGGATTACTTTGACCTTTGAAATATGGTATTTCAAATCTCTCAATTGGTTTTTAAATTATTCACATAGTACTCATTTTAACAAGTTCAATCTCTATTTTTCATTAAAGGCAGTATTTGAAAAGTCATGCTAAGACTGAAATGAAAAAGTAATATAATTCATTAAGCATTTGAAGAACACAACCATTCAAAAAGAGTAAGTCAATGTCTTTCAATTCCTTGCTGTGGTATTGACAACAACAACAGAAGTTCTATTTCAGTGTGTTAGCCATAGAATTGCTAACTGTAAATTGTCACTTTCAGTTATCTGGCTTAAACTGATCTACACTATTATTTCATTTTCATATTTAAATGTTTTGTGATCTTAAAGTAACCTTTTTCCTACTAGAACTAAATTTATAAAGTTATATCGCAGTATAAACATCAATAATTCCCTTGATGTAGCATGACAGATGCTTACCGGGGGGTTTTAAGCTTAGCTTATTTCCTAAGTAACTTGAAAACTGGATATGAAATTAATGTACTCATTTTAAACTGTGTCTCTGAATTTGAAAAATACTAAAATAGCATATTATTTGTTTTTAGTGCTCTGGAGTTGTTCTTCCCCACAAACTTGATAGAAACAATCTTGCATTGCCATTCATTGGAATTTATTGTGGCCTCCTTCATGCTTATGGGGAAGGATAATCATGATTCTTCCAGGGCTTCCTTTTTAGTATTGCAAAGATTAAGGCCTTCAGGTATCCTTAGGAGCAATCTGAGAAAAGGTCCAGTGTGCCTGGGTGAATCTTTTCTCATTTTTCTTTAGCTGCTTTTACAGATAATAATGACCTAAAGATTTGCTAAAATTGGCTATTCCCATTGTGATTTTTGTAGAAGCAGTTGCAGAAAAGATGCTAAAGATTTTCATTTTAGGTTTCAATTTTAGAGCAGCGTGTGGAAATTATTGCCGTCTTCTTCCCTGTACAAGAATTTGCCTGCTATCCCCTTTCTCCCTTTCCATTTGATTCCCAGCATCTTCTTTCTTTTGTTTGTTCATAGATTTGGGTACTTCACATTGTTCATTACTGCATGCCCCTCTCCTCCTTCCTCTTTACTTTTTTATTTGTTAAGAAATTACTCCACTGGCATTGGTGAACTGTGATTCCAGAATTCCTGGTATCAACTTTTAGTATGTTTGAGATACCTTTTTCTATTTTTATTTAGGATGCAATGCCAATACTAGGTACAGCTGATAGGATGATTTAAAACAGAGGTCTGCACAATTCCTGTTGTAGTTGCTCAGTTTTTACTTTGGATATGAAGAAAAGTCAACAGTAAAAGCTTTAGGAAACTAAAAGTTTGCCTAATGAATTTAGGAGTAAACTAGGCTGCTTTAGTTACTGTGACTGCTATACAAAGATACTGCAGTAATGGGGTATGAACTGTAAATTACAGAGTGAATCAACATACTGACAGGGCTTCTGGCCTTGTGTATTTTTTATGTCATTGGATGCAGTATGTCACACATGAATGATCTTTCATTTAAGCAATAATGTCCTAGATATTGAGATCTTAAAGCAGTGGCATTAAAATAATTGTTGGAAAATGTGGTGACTTCCCACACAGTATCTCAGAAATGCTTCACATCTATTATATAATACTGCTAATCCAGTGTGCTAGCTGGGGCACTGCTGGAAATGCAGAAAACCATCTATACTCATATATCTGGAGGCCTTCCAAAATATAACCAAGAACCAAAATTATCATAAAATACGGAGGAATACATTTGAAACAATAAGTAACTATGACATGAATCATAAGAATTTCTGGGTAAAATCCTAGCTTTGCTGAAGTCAATGCAAGTTTTGCTCTTGACTCCAGTAAGATTTTTACCTTTTTGATTTATGGAACACCTGAAGTGGAGACCGTAGTAAAAATGGCATTTAAACATGTTTGACACTAGCAAAGGTATAGTGTCAAATTCTTGACTTAAAATATTGGTCTCTGGTAAGTCAAAAGAAGCTGTAAAATACACTCTGATTCATTTATTTAATATAAGTTTTCTGATTTGCTATATACAGTATTAAAATGGTAGGAAAAATTACTTTGAAGCACAGCTTTCATACTATGGGAAGGTATGTCACCTCAACAAAATTGCAGGTGAGGTCTATCATCAGTTATTTACTGCACTAAAAACTTTATTTCAAATCTTTTTTTTTTAGCAGCAGTCTTCTCAGATTGACATAAATCTGTAGCCAAATTCAAACAAAAAATGAAAAACCATCTGTTGTCCCTAAACCCATATATCCATGTATCTTCCCAATATTAAAGAGAAGGCCAAAGGTCTGACACTTCTTCCTTCTGCTGATTTCATAAATGCTTGTATGAAAGGCAGCTGTTGTAACTAACATAGCTGCAGTCTGCCTTGCTCAGAATTGTTCTGTGTACAAGTGCAGAGATGAGCCATGTTAATTCAGCTGATTTTGACTGAAAGCAACTTGTGGGAGTTTTAGCACTTTCTGCATACAGGAGATGATTTTCTGTTGGCAAATGAAATTTCTCCTGTTCCTCACGAAGTCAGGCTAACGTATGTGTTTTTCAAGAGGTACATCATTATTAAACAGTGACTTGAAAAACAAGAGTAGATAACCAAAACACCACCCCAGCATACACAAAACTCAGGAAATATTTCCTGTCTACAGGCAACTCTTAGGAATGAAGTCATTAAGTCCAGGAATGGGAAAGGCAAAGCCCAAGCAGAGGGTGCTCTGAGTTGGTTTCACTTTGAGTCACTTCACAGTGAAAAGCCTTTAGATTTTGTAGGGAAATAGATGTGCTGTAGCTACTTCATGCCATGGGAGGTGGATCCTAAAGTACATGGAGCTTTCTGTAGAGGTTACAATAACGAGAAATTTGGCATCTTTGTTTTCACAAAGACTGTATAATTTGGATAGCTCTCATCCCAGTGCTGCAGAAAGCATTGTTGATGGTGCAGAGAACATTGTGCGTAGCTGGTGCCATTTGCATTACATCTGGCTTTGTAATGACAAGAATGGCCTGTGTGGTGCAAGTTCTGAAGGAAACACCTCCTTGCTTCATGCTGCTGCCTCCTCCTGAATTGACCAGCATTCTTTTAGGTAGATGTTTGCAATCTGAATAAAAACACTAAGGAAACAGTAACTTGAGAGTAATAGATAAGTACATATTTACCGATATTTAACTTTCACCAGCAAAGAACCACGTAGTGAGACAGAGAAAGCCTGCTCTAGGAACTACAGAACTTCACTGACTGAAAAATTGCCCCAGGACTCTTAACAGATTAGAGTGTCACTTTGTCCTCTCATGTGAGTGAACCAAAACAGTAATCCTATTTCTTGTTCCACACTGTGCTATACGCGTAACTCATTTACGAATAGAGGGAAGAGTGAACTTTTTTGACCAGGAATTTTATGGCACAGATCTCTTTGGTAAAATAAATATGAAGGTTAAAAAATCATTCTCCTCCTGTGAAGAAAATTTCTGCTGATTTTGACTGTTAAAGTAGAGAACATATGTGATTAACTGAATTTCAGTTTAAACTTGCCACTGCACAGGAGCAGTTCTGGCTCCTGTGTTTCTTAATAAAATGCTGCTTTGCTTTATTTATCATTAAGTAATTCACATAGTACAATTCTGAAAACATTATCTTAAAATTGTGGTTATATGCAGTATTTGTTCCCTCATTGGTTTTGATGTTTTTCTTTTTTTTAACATGGGAGGCAAAGGGAAGCAAAATTTCTATAAGCTACCTGATTAACTTCCATGGAAGGAGCACAAGTTGTTATAAAAATGATAGAATCAGTCATTTTTAGTTCAGCTGTTTCATAGCCAACTATGCTTTCGAAGAAGAATTTGTGATTTTTCCCATACACATTTTGGAAACCTAATCTTAAAACAAACCAACCCAAAAGTCTTTCCAGAACTACTTTAGTATATTAATAAATATTGAAGGAGTAGCTCAAACTAACAGGAAATTTAAATGTTTTGGGAAGCTTTCAATTTTGGCAGTGTTGGGTTTATAGTTGGACTTGATGATCTTAATGGTCTTTCGCAACCTAAATGATACTGTTGTTTCCGTGGAGAAAAAAATAAAAATAAAAATTTCCCTCGATAGTTTTGTAACTGAGCTAGATCAAGTCAGTCATTTAAAACGAATACTTGGTGCTAATGAGGATTTCCTATTGTGTGAGATAAGGCAAACATAACTATTTTTTTCACAATAGTTTTATGAAGGCAGATTGTCAAATAGAGAATATTTCGAAATAATCACAAGGATACTTTTTGGCTTTTTTTTTTTACTTTTAAATAAAAGTGAACCAGTGAAATCATTCCAGAATTGCTGTATTTGTTTAGGATTTAGTCATGCCATTCCTGGCATGGGAACTCCCATTGTTCAGTATTTAATATGCTTTCTGGAGCATGTGCAAGATTGTGCTCTTTACACGCAAATGTTAATACAGTTGTGTTTACTGAATCCATGTGTTAGATTAAGCATTGCTGCAACTGCGGGAATTCCTAGCTGCAACTGTTCATGTCTCTTGCACCAGCAGGTAATGCAGGGCTTTGATTCCCATGAGGAACATAGACGCAGGCATTGCAGAAGGGTTGTTTGGTGGATTACATTGGGAATAGTGTGAATACTTACTATGTAAAGTGTAGAACAAGGAAAATGTGTTTGTTTTATGATTCAGTTGGTATTCAGTATTTTAATTTGTAATGTGATTATAAAACTCAAAATGCAATGTAACCAAATTATCAATATGTAAATGCGTGTAGGACATGACAGAAGTAGTTCTGAAGCACAGTTGGAGAGTTACCATTTTAAAATAGATGCTTAAATTGTGTATATACTTGCAACATCTTTGATAGTGCATTTTAATTTTGCATTTCATGTTCTTGTAAAGTGCATCTTCCACACTTCTGAAGATTGTCTCCTTGTACAATACTGTATTAAGTCTTTTTTTCAGGACTTTAGTTATTGCTGGAGCTTCCAACGTATATGTTTCTTCTGAAAAATGTTCTTACTGTTACTTTTTTTGTAAATAGTTTTTTGTATTAAATTTGCATGGATGAACCCCACATTTCCAAGTGTACATACTCAGTGTATAAAATACAAACTGTTTCATAACTTTCATGTAGTCAAGTTATTCAATTTGATTTCACTTCAGGTTTTATATATTCGTAGTAAATAATGAGAATTTGTTGTATGTTCTTTCAAATGTCTGTGTTGCCATTTTGATAGATAAGTGACCTGCCTCATTACATATCAGCAAATATGTTCTTTTTGTAGTGATGACAAACAAAAGAAATGTTAACTTTTATTCCAGGGAAATACAGGACACTTTTACATATGAAGTATGTAGGACTGGTTTTGACCAACAGCTGTCATTGGTGAGAATACATTAAGATAAAGATGCCTTCACTTGTAGCAGCGTCTTTATATACTTACACACTTTCCTGTCTTAACACAATGTGAAAACCACCTAATGTCTTACAGCATATATATTTGGAACAATGTAGGTTTCGAATCTTGCTAATAAGCTTAATCCAGTACAGAAACTGTACAGGTGCTGTGCTTCCCTTCCGCTCCCTGGGTTAGATCCAACAATAGCACAGATCACCCTTTGTGTGGTTTGCAGTCATTAATTGCTAGAACCAGCATTAGGGAAACAACTGCCATTGTTTGGACCTCTGGTTAGGTTATTCAAATGTAGGTTAAAATAGAATTCTATACAATAAAATTGATTTTACCTTGATTTGTTTCTTTATTAAAGATCTGGCCAATTTTATTTCTAGATCTGAAAACTGAAAGTAAATATTCTCTTTTGAGATGTTTTTTCCTGTGAGACTTCATTCCGCACCTGCACCCAGCTCTTTGTTTCTTGATGAAGCACAATTTGGGAGTAGGAAGCAGAAATTGTGGAACAGCATTACAAATAAAGTGAACACCATCCCTTGACAAAGGCATAAACAGAACTTGTTTTTGCAGTTATTGATGAGGGGCTTGTGGTTAAATGTTCTGTGAGTCTGTTTAGTTCCCAGCTATAAAGAAAACTACTCTTATGAAAAAGCCTTAAAGGTCTGCAGGGGGAATGGTACCATGTGCAGAGGCCTCAGTTCTGGACTGGACTCTGAACCAGGAGATTCCTGGTTTTTCCTTGACCATCTTCATGGGGAAGGTCATGGTTGAATAAGGAAAGTGGTGTAAGCAAAAATGATCTGCGATTTCCACAGGAGATGTATTGAGAAAAATGCAAAATGCATGAAGCTTTGCAGTGTAATTTTTTTTTTTTTTATTTGAGCTTGGTCCATTTGATAAGGGTGCCACCAGTATGTTCCTTTAGATTATCAACTGTGGATAATATGACTCAGACATGGACTTTTTTTCACTGAGTCATGCGGTGTTAAAAGTTTTGTAAATGGCAGGCTCCAGCTATAAACAAAACATATATGGTTCACACCACCTGCCTTGGTGAAGGTGCCTGCTGCTGGCAGGCTGCATTGATTCCAGCAGGATTTGTGAACTAACGGCACTGAATAAATTTTACAGTTCTTTACTGCAGGGCTTCTTCCACCCAGCATTTTTTCAGTAGTTCTTAGGTCTGTATAGGTCTTGCTGACTGCAGCAACCTTTTCACATGTCACACTGAGCTTATTCACCTATTTCCTAAATCAAAGATGGTGAACTACTACTAAATAGAACTTTCTGTTTTCTGTTCAAGCTTGAAATCTACATCTTCTTCCATAATGTGTCAGATACCTGCCATGTATGTTCTCATGCTGTGTCTGCTTTTACAGTCTTCAGTGTCCTGCTTACAGACCAGTGGTACATCTTGCTGTCTTCAGCTGCTGGTTTGCGTTGGTTAAGATTCATTGTTAGCCTTTTGACTTTCCTCTCCGATTAAGATATGTCTACAGTGCCCCAGGCTAGCATCACTGTTCCGATACTCTTAGTTTGTGGAAACTATAAGATTTTGTGTGGTTTGTTTTTTTTTTTAAACAAACAAACAAACAAAAAACAAAAACCAACACAAAACCCCAATCAAAATTCAGTTCATCATCCGCAACTTCAGTGAATTCTCCTGTTTCTGTGTTCAGACACATTAAGCAGTTTACTCTGAGTGGCTACAACTGTCATTCAAATGGCTGTTGGAACCCTTCCAAGAATATTATTTTTTTAAAGTTTGAAGTTTAATTTTGCCGTGACTTTAGCAGACTATTTGCAAAATGTGTATGTAATTATTTGTGGTTTTAATTAGTTAGGCCTCAATAATGGAAATCTCATGTTAATAATATTCTGATTATATAGCCAAAGAGTAGATTATAATACGAATATCTAGTTTTCACAGCTACAACACATTGCCTTCAGAACTGAATGATGCATAACTCAGCACAGTAGCTCATAGGAACTAGTAAGGGCAATATAACAAGAATTAGAACATGTAAACTTCTCTGAAATTCACAGGTGATTGTTAAAGGTTTGACTTTGTATCATCTTAACATAGTTTTCATTATAGTGGGGAAGTGGAACAACTAGACTGTATGGAACTCCTGTAGGGTTTTTTTAGGTAACCTTTAAATGTGACAAACTTTCTGGAATACTTGTATTTTTCAGCAACTTAATAAACCTCTATCTTTGGAGTATTATAATTGTGGCTTTATTATAATTATTTCATTACCAGAATGCATACAACTTTTCATATATACATACAGATACTGTGTGTGTGCATGTGATCTCTAGATCAATAATCACAAGCTGTAGAAATGATAAAAGAATTTACCCAGAGAAAGCCATGTTTTCTGTGTGTGTTGATCCTGCAGGGCCTCTGCTTATATACCTGGTTCTGTTGCAACGTCCATGATAAAGAATCAACTCTACTACGCTATCCATAGGAGGAAGAAAAACTAAACTCATATCTAAGAATGCTGTGGGACTATCCACCGCCCTAGCACACAGCTATGAACGCTCGTGTCAGTGTGGGGACTGCAGGAGGCCACCACTTTTTGCATCTTCATCTTGATACCTTTCTATCCCACTTGCATGTCGTGCTGCATCTCTGTATACGAGAGTCTATTGAGGTGGTTGTCAGAGGTCTTGGGGCTCACTACTCCAGTGAGTTTAAAGTGTGAAACTTCTAGAGAATCATCTCCCTTACTTTCATCCTTTCACAGGAGATGGCTCCCGTGCCAGTGGTAAGTTGTCTCACTAAATGGCATACTACTATTTTTATCTTCATTAACACTGTTAAATAGAGCTACATTACATTTCCTTCTCTTAAGCATTCTGAAGAGGTTTGTTGCTTTCTCTCCTAATGCACTTACAGATATTTTTCTCCTCTAAGGTTAGTGGCCTTTTTAAATCCTTCTGCAGCTTGAGTGAGAAATAGTTATCTAAAGTGTAAATGTTCATTTATGTTAATACGACATTCTGGATAGGTATGAATTCATGAATTGATGAGACATTGTTCATTTCATCCACTTGCTTTTGATCTCTAGAATCTCCTGTTCTATAATCAGAAGAATAAAAACAATGTAAAGCAACAGCATAAGTTTCCAAGTGCATGAACTTGTGAATACTATTTGATAGGACAAAGTATCCCACAGTCCAGCCCCAAAGAAACACAAGCAATAAATAAGAGGATTATCTCTGAAAACTTTAAGCCATACCATTTAGAAATGGGTAAGTAGTATTGAATCACAAATAATAGTTATGTTAAAGCTGTTCTCCTCCACTAATTGGTGGGCGATGTGTCTAGCTTGCACGTTCCACTGTGTACTGAAATGCTAAGTTCATTCTGTTCTTTCTGCAGTAAAACATTTATACAATGATGAAATGGAGATACTTCTGCCAACAGTGATAATTTTGTGATTTTTGGCTCAAGCAACATAAACTCATATTTCCCAGGAATATCAATTAAACAATGATTCTGGTGAAATGGTGGGGGCATTGCTAAACAGTTTCCTTCACTCCTGTTTTTTGCAAACTAGGGATTGCAAAAGAGGAGCAGTAATAGAATTATTAGTCTTGGGCCACTCTAATGAATCAAGCATCACTTGTTATTCAGTGTTCTTGCCCTTTTGTGAGCAGTCCCGTGCTTGCCTGTTTGTCTATTATTGTAGTATTGCCTGTATATGGCATCAATTGAGCCTTATTTATGTGTTTGGGAACTTCAAAACTCCCCTTGCCAATTTTTAACTTTTGATAGTGGCTTAGAAACAGTCTTATCACACAGGCTTCATTTGACAAGTGCTCTTTTTGATAACTTACGTTACGGTTTTGTTCGAAGTTCTTTCATTGCAGATTTAATAGCATTCTGTTTGCATGAATTAAAAGAACAAACCTTGTTGTATTTTGGAAAAAGTACTTGATTCTTTCAGGATTTACATGCCCCAAAAATCAGGATTTCATTTCATTTAGTTAGATTATTTGGCTTTTCAGATACTAACAACAGGACATTCCGTTTTAACTAAACGAGTTGCCATAATGTGCTTAGAAGGCATCTGTAAAACAACAGATCTTATCACTTCTGTTCCTGCAGGTACAGATGGAGGAAGAAACCTCTCCCCATCTATTTTTTCTCACTTTTCTTAGTTTATGCAAAAATCAAGGTTAAATTTAGTTTCTATAAATAGGAATTTTTTAAAACCTAAATTTATTGTTGTCTTTTTAAAAGCTGAAACAAATTCATGTCTAAATTGACAGGTTACTCAGCATCAGAACAGGTAAAAGCATGCAGGTATTTTTAACTTTCTAGCAGCCCACATCTGTTTGACAATATTGCAATTCAGATTTCCCTGTGATAGCTTCTGAGCGCAGATCATGCTCTGCCTACAGACATTGAACACCCTTTATTTTGGTAGTAGAAGACTGTTTCTGCACTCTGATCTCCAGCACAGAGCATTCTGCTGTTTGTCACTTTTTCAGCTGCTTTATGCAAAATGCCTTTACTTGGTGCTACTGAAGCCGTTACCCTTGCAAGCTTACAAACATGAAAAATACACGAAGGAAATAGAACCAATATGCAGTTAAAAATACGCATCTGGGTAGGGGTTAGGGCTGCCTCAGTTCTCTGTCAGCTTCCAGCAGGGTTGCTGAGTGTTGCTACAGACTTGACATCCCTTCACCCCCTCTAAACTAGGTGAGCCTCATACCTGCCTTCTCTATAACCCTTGTCTCAACAAAGTCTAGGGCTTGGTCTAGGGCTAAAACGGGTCTAGCTTAAATTTTAAACCAGTTGCCTGACTGTTAGCGTGTTTGACCCATCTCTGCTCAGGAGGTAGGACTAGATGACCTCCTGAGGTCCCTTCCAGCCTCAGCTCTGCTCTGCTCATGCTGGCAGGCATCTGCTTGCACTGCAGCTGTGAGCATCCCTCTGCTCTGCAAGATCTGCAGTGTGCTGGTTCATGGGCTCCCATGGATGGTGCAGCAGGAAGACCTGGCTGGCCAGCAGACTTCAGACAGCTGTATAGGGTGGTTCGTGCCAAATTTACGGTTTGGGTTTTTTTAGTGAAATGGATGGGAAGCGACAGGCATTCCTGTCAGCTGGCAGAACAGAGGGTGGGATGCATCTTCATAAGCAAGTACGCTCTGATGTTTCCAAAATGGAAAAAGCAGCTGGATTGATATGAAAAATGTATCGCTGGTTATTTTGTCAGGAATGCTGTGATTTTGATGGACCAAAGAAATCCAAAGGCATTTTTGCCCTGCCCCACACCACACTGTTTTGATTGGACAGTTCATATGTTTGTGGTGTCCTGCAAACCACCCACAAAAAGTGCTGCTGCAGGCCAGAAATTTTTTAAACAGTGTAGGAGACAAATTTCAAACCAAAATAAAGCATTTGAAATTGAGCTGTCAAAAATGATTAAGGGTAGGGAAGCATATTTACTTGCTCTTTTTTTCCCCCCACCACAGGAAGAACAGTGGCTAACTTGTATTCTGTTGAGTAGTCCTTCCCCGTGGGGAGGAATTTCTGATCGCTGATGAATGTGTTGTGCTCCAGACATTCACAAACAAAAAATCTAAAAGTATGGGAAAATTCGTCTTATGCTTGATATTCTCAGACTATAAAATAGAGAGCCCATGAGAGACACATGCTGTGGGCTGGAAGATAAGCCAAGGCAGTTTCCCTTGAGCTGTGGCTCATTTGCTTCCTCTGGAGCAACCTCCCTGCTGCGCTGAGCAGACCCCTCTTCTCCAGGATAGGCACAACCCTTCCAGTATCCCCAGTGCTCTCCCCTTTCCCACGATGTTCCCTCCACCCAAGGCAGGGGCAGGGTGGACACCAGGGTGAACCAGCAGCTCTTGGCCCAGCAGAGACAGCAATAACCTCTGCCTATTGCTACCTGCAATCTCAGCCTGTGTAATTAAGGCAGTATCCTGGAGCAGTGAAGGCATGACCATGTCAATGGTTGAATGTCTGGGAAGACCTTTCCTACTTCTGTTCCCGACAATGCGTAGGTTTTCTTCAAACCCTGTTTATTTAAATATAGTTTATAATGAGCCATATCATATCATAGTTTGGGCTGAGCCAATGCGTGGATCAAGAGATTTCAAGTTTTAAGGGACTTAGTGGGAAGCATGACTTCACTAAGAAAGCATCAGAGAGTGCCTCTGCCTGTGTGGCATGTTCCCAGGGGGAGAGGCAGTCGGTGCAAGACTGGGAGATGTTTCAGAAGAAGGCAGGTCTTCAAGAGTTGGGGTTATAGCTGGATCAAAAGCGTATTGTGAAGTCACTGCTCGGTCAACTTAGAATTTAGGGGAGCATAACTCATTTTTAGAAGAATGCAGATTGCTGCACCAACAGGTTTAAGAAATGACTTTTACAGAAGCAAGCAAACTACTGAGATCCTGTCATTAAAATAAGTATTTTTCTTTCCTCTATTAAGAGAAATGTTCCTACATCATCTGAAATCCATCTTGTAACTAGCAATTGATTAACACGTTGATGAAGTGTATTTCTTAAACCTGTTGAAAGATTTTTTTCCTGTTGTACATCTTTATAGTATTACTCAAATGTACAAAGTCAGCTCTTAGTAATGTAGGACAAGTCCCAACTACAAACCATAGCACCAGTGAAAGTCAGAAAAGGGAACAAGTAGGAAATAGCATAATTATCTTCGGGATTAATCCTACACACCCTGTATTTCTCAAGCATTAGACTTAAGATGTTAGGTGTTAGGCAATATTGTTGTGTGCAGCATGCCCAAACAGACTTTAAACAGGTTGAACTCTCCCTGCAAGGTGAAACTAGAGCAAATGCTAGTTCTTTCCTACCACTGACTAATCTGCTATTAATCTATCACAGTTTGGGTTTATTCTGGGAGGTGGCAGTGCCTGAGCGTAGAGAAATGCAGTAGGAGAACTGTATTGTTTTGACTGAGAACTATGCTCTCCTGTTTTTCCTCACTTTGCATGTGGGCATAATCTTTATCACAGGAAATGTGATAATCTCCCTCACCGAGGGTAAACTGTGAATTTGTTGCACAACCTGGAAGAGTGAGAACTTGTGAAAGCGAGATGCCATGCTCTGGTCTCCTGCTGGAAGTGGGGAGCTTTCCAAAGCCCTGGCTTGCAGCATCCCTGTAACCTGAAATTACATACCAGGGAGTTCAGGCATTGATACCTGACAAATGTGTGCTCGAGGACCCAAATCTGCATCCAGCCATTACAGGGGTAGGGCCTTTATTCAGGTGGACCATGGACACACTTGACTTTCAGTGACAGGAACCCTGGGAAGAGATGGCTTGTTGGGTGTTATGAGCTCTGCACACTCAGCAGTTGTTGAGTGGGAATTCAGGTATTTATAGGGCTTTGCAGTAGTGTCTCTGCAAAGTCTGAAACAATAAATCATTGCTTTCTAGCTCTTCAGTGGTGCCTCAATTAATCTTTTCACTAGACTGCTAACTGCGTATTCTTCATGTCATCAGAGTTTTGGCTCTGGCAACTTAGTACTCCTTTATCCATGGTGAATCAAATACTGTTGATTTATGTCAAAGATTATGTATTTCCTTAGATTTTTTTACCCCAAGGTAAAAGGCAGTGGTTGGCACAAATCCTGCTCTGTAAGCTTTTACAAAGGGCAAACCCAACACAGCTTCTATTGAAAAGGATCACGAGGAGACACATGGGAATGGCCTGCTCGGAGCTCTGACTTTGGAAATCCACTGTGCTCTTGTAAAGCTTTGAGCAGCATTACCTTCAGGTCTGGTCACATGGACTCACTTCATCAGTGGTATAAACTGTTGATAAATTATCTGGCAAAGACTTCTGTCCCCAACATGCCAGGGTCACCTCTGGCCAGAATCAGTCTCTCCCACTACCAGGATGGCAGGGGACAATTTTCAAAGCAAGGCTCTGCCTTTCCAAGCACAGCTGAGCTGGATTAGACAGACCACCCTCTCAAGAGGCTCTGTGTATCCTGTCCTTACCCTCCTTGACAGACCACAGTCCTGCAGCAGCTGCTGGAGGAAGGCATCTTGCACAGAAATGCTTCACAGAGGGCAGAGCTGCAGTGTAGCTCATCAGTCTCCCCTGGAATAACTGTGACTCTGCTTTTCTTGTCACTGTTACCTGGTGCGTGCATGCCCCTGGGCATGTACAGGGATTTCAACACTATCAAAAGAGGCTGGTCGCTTTTTCCCTAATCAAATTTCCTGTTGCAGAACATACCGAAGAATATCCACAAGACGGATTATACCAGTGCAATATAACCTCTTATTCTGATTTCACTGGCCAGTAACCAAGAGACCCCAGTCAGTGCTGGGGAAGACCAAGCAGCTGTACCTGCACCTCCCTGGAGATCAGTCCTGCAGCAATTCCTCCTTCAGCACTGTAATTTATACATCTGCCAGCATCTTCTCTCAGGATGCGAGGTCTGATTTCTTGGTGAAGTCAGCTCCATCTCACCAGTGTCACTTCTGCCTGTAACTTCTTGGGGCAGTTTTTCCCATCTATTGCATTCCTGTCTGAAAGCAGTGGTTTTCTTATCAGGACCTCAGTTAAAACATATTTCATAGAAATAACAATGGAGTGAAGCTATTCCTTGATGAGAAGGAGCCTCATGCAGTTTGAAGGGACCCAGGGGAAGCAACGACCAAAATTTCCTATTGGATAAAAAGTTAAAGTGTTTTACTTTCATAAAATTGGGTTGTTTTTTTTACTCTTGTTCCCACAAATGAAGTGGTCCAGCTGTCATCTGCCTGTGGAGACTTGCCTGTCCATAGGTGGGATGCTGAGTGCTCAGGGTGTGCTGAGCTGCAGCAGTCACCACGTTTGCAGGTGACGGGAGCTGGGAGATCTGCAACCTCCAAGACCAGGCAGGCTTTTCGAGGTTTTCCTGTCAGCTCACTGCAGAACCCCTAGCCCAGACAAACACCAGAGCCCATTTGCTGCCTGGCTGCCGGGGGCTTGTCTGCGCCGCTGTCTCCGTGCCGGGACCTCTGCATTGCCAGCAGCCCCTTGGCTGGCTGGCAGCCAAGCAAGAGTCCGTCAGAAGTTAACTGGAACCAGTGAATTTCCACGAAACACTTCACAGTAATCAGGGTTTTCTGATCAAATTGCATCTTGTGGCAGGAAAATCCCTGAAATGCTGGTGCGGGGCTGTTCACTGTAGCCCACGTGTTTACTTTACTATTTGGGAGGGATCTTGAGCCAGATGCCTGCTGTGGGCAGTGAGCAGCGGTTGTCTTCCCTATTTCTTCATGTGCATCCTATACACAAAACACTCTTAGGCTGGCTGTTCAGATGCAGCTGGTTGAAACTTGCTCTCTAGAAACAGGAACATACGCTGGACTTCATCTTCTATTTTGCTGTTCTAGTTTTCTTTTTTTAGAGCTAGTAAATATTTTCATCTTGCACACTACCTGGCTCAAAGGAAAATCCCAGCACATTATGGTAAGCCGTAACTATGTGATCAGCATTAAATTTCAGCAGCTCACTCTCTCCTGCATTTAGCCAAATGGGGTGGGAGAATTTGCATCATATTACGATTTTATTTTGGTGTGTGTGTTCTTGAAACTCAATGTAGCTGTTCAGGTGGAATGCAGAATATGGATTTATGCTTACTAGCATTTCTATATAAATTTGAAAGAGTCTTCCAGCGCTTCTTTCTTTTTTACTGGTACTGATGTTTGTGTTCCTAAAGTAACTTTGGTTACATCTGCTCAAGAGTTCAAGGTGATGCTTGAATTGCAGATTTTTAGATGAGCATGTTTATACTTTTTTTGCATGTATGTTTATACCACTGTTGCTTGAACCAATATGTGTTCCACTCCTCTGAAAGTCTTCCTGTGGTCATTCCTAAAGTGTCTTCTCATATTTTTCCTCTTATGGGAAGATTTAAATGGCTTTTAATATAATTAACAGCACTTAAGCATGTCCTAAATCAGCATTGGCTTATGGATAAGAGCTGTCAGCAGATACTGTTCACGGACTGTCTGTTCCTGGCCAAGCAGTTATTCTGGTTTAATGCTTGCTCTCTTGTGGGACCTGTCAAATGATTCGCATCTGAAAACGACAGATCCATCCAGCATTTTGGGGGTGTCTTTTTTTTTTTTTTAATAATTTCTTCTGGGTTTGTTCACCATCAAGCCAAACTTTGCACTTTTCATAAAACATCTGATGAAGCACCTATCAACACCAGTAAGATGTTAATGTGAGATATAAAGACTTGGGCTGCTGTTTGCATTGGTGATCCCTGGCCACCGTACAGGACATAGAAGGCACAGGACACCAGGCCAGTACTGCCATCCCCTCCAGAGGCACCCCAAACTTCTGAAAAAACATCTGCCCCCAGGGCAAATGCTATTTTATATCCCTCAAAGTTGTAGCTCAGGGTTCAAGGACCAGTCTGTGATAATGCGCTGGACCTTGCCCCTTCTGCTGTGTTTACCAGCTGCCCGGCTCTTTCCCTGACCCGCACTCATCCCTCCAGATTTGGCTGCCAGATTCTGCTCACGGCAGCAGAGGCAGGATCGGGCTCTGACAGCAAAGTGCCTCCACGACTCACAGGCCACACCGTGACAGGGGAAGGACCACCTCTCCCGGCCAGCCTCCGGGGCTGTGTGGCTGTCCTGGGCTCCCCGGGGGTGGTACCTGCCCGCGTGTGCTGGGGACGCAGCAGTGATGGGGGTGATGCTGCTCAGCCCCGGCAGATCCTGCTCTGGCCAGGGCAGCAGCAGTGCTGCCTCCCCGCTGGAGATGAAGGCAGGACACAAAAAATGAAGTTACCGGATTGTCAGATCCCCCAGCACCCCGGGTTAGGGCATTCAGCTATACAGAATATGTGTCTTTAACACTTAACCACTCCTACTGCGCAGTGATCTCACCAGAGGGACCTCTGCCAACATCTCGGTTGTGCTCTAGTACAAGACATTGGATGGAGTTAAACAGAGAAGAGAAACTTTGCTGTCCCAATGGCTCGGAGGCTTGCAGAAGAAAATTCTGTTTTAAAAAATGATGCAGAGAGGCAAAAGCCATGAGGTTACTCTTATTTTAAGATGGCCTGAAAGCTGAGATGGAGCACCGGCTCCTTCCACTTGTTGGTCCTGGTACCAGCAGAGGCAGCTGGTCTCTGCACGCTGGGCATGCTGCTTTGCCCATCACAGCTCCTACCCCCTCCATGCTCTCGGGGCTGATCTGCAGTGTGCTGTGCCACTGCAAGGCTTGTTTTCCCAGTTACCATGAGAGCACCTCGTGTGAAATGTTTCTGCCTTCATAACAACTCTCTAGACCTCTTTTTTATTTGTCTATTTAATTCTGGAGCAACCTGAAAACAAGACTGGAAGTAATTACCACTGTCCTGTAAAACCTAGCTTGTTAAATTAGGAAGATTAAAACCCACAGGCAGATGGGCAAATGGTGCTGGGGAAAAAAACTGGCACAAGGCAGGGCAGGTGGTCGGTAGGGAGCGGGATGCTGGTGCAATGCCTGCCAGCAGCACCCTGCTGGAGAGAAGCTGACCTGAGAGCTGGGCATTCATCACAGGCAAAACAATGAGCATGGCCCTGGTAAGGCTCAGCCATCCCAGGAGGAGAACCCCAAGGATGTGGCTGGGTGAGTTTTTTTTCCCCCAAGTATTTAACACTGAAGTAGCTACTGAAAGCCTGGCTGCTGTCCTTCATGTCGCTCTGGTGACAAAGCTGCTTTTATGGAAGTGCAGCAGGCTCTTGGCAAGGTTTTCAGCAGCAGGTTGGCAGCCAGTCTGGCTGGAGCTTGCTGAGCTTGCCCCAGTGCCTGTAGCTTGAGCTGGGTTCAGGATTGCACAAACATTTTAAGACCTGCGCCATTCCAGGTAAACGCATTTTTGCATCTGGGCTCTAAGTCATGTGGTGGGAAGACTTCAGTCTTTCCTAAAACAGCCTCTGGGCTGGCTGCAGGACCCAGTATCCACCTGTGGGAGCTGATAGATTTGGTGGGAGGAAGCAAATGGAGTTTGTTCTGCAATTCTAAATTAACAACTCATGGTCACAGCCTGGTGCCCCGGAGGCTGCAGTTGGCTCCTGCCTGACCTGTGGGACAGGTAGGAGAGGACAGTGTGGATCGGTGCAGTTTATGTTTGGATGTTTTCAGGTTCTCTGCTCCAGACAGGCTCGTGGCTCATCAGTCTGATAGGTATGAGGTGTTATTTCTGTCTGTGTTTGCCTGAGGAGCAGAAAGTGATTCTGGAGCAGCCCTGGGCTTCCCAGCATGGGGCCTCTGGGCAGCACAGGTCCAAGTCTGAAGACAAGGGAGAACAGGAGGAAGAGGGGAAATGGCACCTTCCTGGGGACCAGGGATGCACAGACCTTTGCCATAAACCCTGCGTCCCCCTGGCAGAGCCTGACGTAGCCACAGGACCCAGTTGCACCCAGTGCTGGGAGTGGCCAGGTCAGCTGTAACACAGCTTTGTCTGCACACACACGTAGGACGGTCCGCTGTAGCCCCCCCAGCTTCTGCTGGGAGCTATGTCAGAGCCTTCCTCTTCCAGAGGCAATTTTTAGCTTCTTTTGCATTTCTGTCTGGATGTATTTGTTTTGGCCCATTTATTAACAGTTGTTGCCCCGCCAGCTTTGTGTCTTCATTCCAGTTCTTCCTGTAACATGCTGGTGCATTCAGTGGCAGAATTTGGGCTCCAGGGTGCCAGGCTGTGCTCCTGATCCCACTGCAGCTTGCCAGTCCCAGCATCTCTGCAGGCCTCCCTGCGCCTCCCCAGCCCCTGGAGCCCATCTTCACAGCAGGCTGCTTCCCAGATGCAGCTACACATGCTGGTCAATGCTGTCTAATTCTTCAGCCTGCCTTGTATTTTTGCCTACAAAGATTTTATGTGCACTGGTACCCAGGCTAAAACCTAGTCATCGAGTTATTTATTAAAAGCTTCCACTGTGCCACAATAAGAATGAAATTATTCTCACTGGCTCTGCTAACCTGCCAGCCCAAGTCCAGCTGCATGGGAGGGAGAGGCAGAGCGAAGGGCACATGCAGGTCGTGGAAAAAATATTTGAGGAGCAGAAGACGACTCAGTGCAATGGGAAGACAGGATCCAGAGGGCTGTGGACGCTTCGGTCAGGGTGTGCTCCCAAGGCAGGAGACGTTCTCTGTTTCATCAGCAATTACAAGAAACCGCGATGATCAGGATGAGCAAGGGGTGCCTCTTACACAGCAGGGAACCTGAGGCAGAGGAAGCTGAAAGGCAGGTAGGGTGTGTGACTTTTTGCTTTCAGCTTGACGGACCTTTCTGTGAACAGAATTGATTCAGAAAGTAAAGATTTCAGTGGTGCCGGCTCCACGGCAGCCACCTTGTTGGCTCACACAATACGGGCGCATTCAAACAGCTGCTGTCACTTCTTTGAGATGTCATCTAAACCAGGATTAGACCCCAGCAGTAGCCATCAGGAAAGAAATAGGGAAAAGTGAGGTCTCCACTCACCACAAGAATAAATGCTGACACTGGTAGATAGTTTAGATGCCTCCATCGTTTCCTAAAGTCCCATGGAAGCCATGTTTAATTTATTAATGCAAAGAAAGGATTTTTCTTGCAACACTCAGTGCCATTGCCCTGTGCTCCTCTTCCTAGCACGTCTCCTCATGGTGACATCCCCTTTTTGGTGCAATTCATAAATGCTGTGCTGGAGGCCACAAGTCTGGAATTGCTGAGTGTCTTATTCCGGTGCCTCAGAAAGCTTGTTTAATGCAAGTTATATAGAAGAGACTGGCTTCCCTGAAACATGAGGCAGTTAAGAGGCTTTTACAAGTCATTGATTTTTCATGCCACTGGCAATTTCAAAACCATCCCTTTGGATCAAATGAAACATGCTGTTCGATACCAAATGGTCTGTTCATAGCTGGAGCCTTTTAGTTTTTATTTTGTCGAATAGGAAGCTACTTCTAAACATGGAGCTGAATTGCAAACTTGAAAGCTTTTATTCTGAACTATCAGATCCTAATATTTTAATATAGAAAGGCAATGGACTGCTTGACAGAACCAATTTAGCAGAACTGGGGTGAATGTATCAAATATATTTTAACCAAACCCGATTTGGCCCATTTTTTGGACTTAGCTCCAGTGATGATCTTAGCCAGCAGCTCTGCCGTTTGCAATGAGGTATTTCAGCAACAATGCTGCTCTTCCTTTATTTCCTCAAACAAAAGAGGATTTTTACAGAAGTGTTTTATAATTTCTGCATGTACTTGCCCAGCACATCTGTCAGAGACCAAGGACCCAGCCCAGGGGCTTCTCTGCTCTTTGAATTCTCTTATTCAGTCTGGAAGGACCTTTACAAGTTTGCCTTCCCTGGGCTTTAAGTCTTTTATTAATCTTGGCCCTCAGAGCAGCTGTGAGGCTGTGAGACCTGGCCAGGCTCCTGGAGCAGGAGGAAGCTCCTGCAAGATGTTTGTGAGCACATAGTGACTCCAGGAGTTACTCACCCAGCTGACAAATCCAACAAAATCTCATTTGTGAGCAAACCAGACAAGTCAGTGGTGCTTCCAAATACAGTTGTAAGGGGGAAGGTAGCCATGCGAACAGGAAAAAAATTCCCTGTGGCTTTGCTGGTTGCTGGACACAGGGGTGTCTCGCTGCTGATCCCATGGGGCTCTGAGGAAAGGTGGGCGGCAGGGCACAGCAGTGGGGGGCTGAGCCCAGCCAGCAGCCAGGCCAGCTGCGGTGCCTGGGGACAGCTTGCTGCATGGGGGTTTGCCAGGGCACCCTCCCAGTTGCGTTCAAGTCTTGCTGGTGATCCAGAGCAGGTACATTTTTATTACCTCCTTCCATGAGCTTGTCATCACCTCATGTTGCAGCTTAACTCCGCTTGCAGAAGAGTTAGTAAGATGCAAATCACCTTCCTGTCCCTGACCAGAGCTCAAGGCCATGAGGCTCTGATCCTGCATGTGCAGGCGTCTGCCCTGTGTTTCCCACAGTTTGCTGGGGCACTGCTGACAGCTACAGCCCTAAGGTCAGTACAAGCCAAGGCTGGGCACATGCCCTTTGCAGAGGTGCGCCCTGAGCTGTGCCTCCACTCAGCAGTGCTGGAACAGGGCATGGATCCTCCCCAGCTTGCCCTCAGCCAACCTCCTCCAGGACCAGCATGGGGATTGCATTAACACTGGCAAGGGGAGGAACGCAGCAGAAGCATAACAGCATGAGAGGAAAAGAAAAGCATCTGTAGTGTGCCAAGGGAGCTGTTTTGGGCAGGAGGCTGGCGGGAGGAGGCTGAACCCTTCTCAGGGCAGAGCTGAGCTCGCAGCTCCTCCCGGCCTCTCCCGCACTGCAGGCTGTGTAGTGGAGCCCTATTGTTGCAAATCCCAAATATGCTTTTTTCCAACTTCATTTTCCCAGGAACTGACCCAGTTCTAGCACTTGGGAACTGGCATTCACCCTACTGGCAAATGTTTCTCATCTGTTTCAAATGATCTGTCCAGTATGACCTTTTCTGCTTAAGTAGCTTACACAATGAAAATACATGAATGTTAAATCCTCATCTTGCATAATTCTGAAAGCAGGGCCATACATTTACCAGCAGCAAGGGGCTTTTTTCCCTGTCCTTTGCAGAAAGTAAGAAGGAAGCAGCCAGCACTGTGCAATTGCAGTGAAGGGAGAAATAACTCACACCACACCACACCACACGCCCCCCCCCAGTTAAAGGATGCTCAAGGCAACAGCTTGTCTACTACACATTTCTGCTGCTTTCTGCTTTGGAAAGATAAAAAGCAAGGGTCTTCAACTATGGGCAAAGCCCCCCTGGCCTTCTGGGACTGTTTCCCAACCAAGTGCCACTGCAAATCAGGACAGTGGTGAATCATGGATTTTCTGGTTCCCTACTTCAGAGCTCCCCTTGGCACCCATCAGGATGAACTCATCTTCATAGTCCGAGTGCTCTTCCTTGCTCTCATCTCTGTTTTTAAAGCTGTGCTTTTGCCCAGCATACAGCAGTTGGTGTCTGTGGTGGGAGGCAGTTGCTATAACCAGGTGTATGGCATCATTTTTTATCTTTAGCAGAGCAAAAGGTTAAAAGGTTCTGAAATTTTGCCTGCACCCACCTTGAAAGTTCTAAAGTGCAAAGGGTGGTCATGCTTTTTCCATTGGCACCTACCTTCACAGCATCTTATCTGAGCCAGAGACAAACAGCTATTCTGTGATGGGAATGGCTTCACACCTGGAAAGCAACCGTGCCTCCCCAGGTCTGCATGGCCAGTGCAACAGCCTGGCAGCGCTGCCCTGCCTGAGCACAAATCTACCTGCGTGTGCACAGCAAAATGGAGAGGATAACTGACAGGTGGAAGGGGGTCTGGCCTTGCCTTTGCTGCTCCAAAACACCCTCACTGACTTCAAGTGGGAAGCAATAGCACATTCATTTGGGAAATAAACAATGGTACTGTAAGTCTCATACAGGTGCTTGGAAGGGCAGTTTTCTTCCTAATGAGAAGTGCTCCTTTAGTTCCTGATGCTGTTTCTCATGTTCTTAGTATGTCTGAACTGATCTCAGTATGCTTAAATCTGGCCATGGCAAGATCCTGCCTGTTGCTTGTTGGGGAACACACACCACAGCTCCACTCTTTCCAAAACATCCTTTATTGTCCCTCCTGGAGGGGATTTGCTGCAATCAACTTCCCTTGACTCACGCAAGGCAACATGGAGATGACACCCATGTTTTATTACTAGTCATGACCCTCGTTGATCCTTTAGCACAGCAACAGGAATCGTGAGATGTTTTTTTCAACAAGGTGTACTCAGCACTAGAGCTCTCACCTGGGGCAAATCAGGTGTGGTTGAAGCACCCACTCCTTGCAAAGGGTGCTCCAGGCTGGAGGCGAGGGAGGGCTTGCGGGGTGATGCAGGGAAAGAGGGATGAAGTAAATTGTGACAGGCAAGGCTACACAAGGATCACGTTGACCAGCTGCACTGATGTGCCTAGCCCACAGAAAAGGAGCGAGGGGATGGATAATTTCCTGCAGATCCCTGAGAGGCAGGAGCAGCTGGATTGACTCTGGAGCCATCAGAGCCAGCAAGCTCGGGGCTAGGCGCTGCGGGTGGTCACATCGGGGCTGGCCCTGGAGGACCACCAGCCACACTGGCGTGGGCCAGGATGCTGCGTGGAGCCACGGCTCCCTGGTGCCAGGGATGGCTGAGTGCTGCCACCGCTGCCAGGGGCTCGGGCAGCAGCCAGCAGCTAGCCTGCACTGATTATGCCATTTGGTTTTAATTTTAATGAACCATTTAAACATTTCAAACATACCTTTGACCTACTTGAGCACAGTTATAGCAACAATTAACACCAACACCTCATAAATCCTGGCAATGTCCTCTCTGGTGCTTGGCAAAGCCTCTGATCGTGTGGCAAGTGCCAAACATTACAGGGTGGCATCTGATCCCTGAAGAGAACAGGCGGAACTCTTTAAAAACCTCCAGATTTCTGCAAAATGCAAAGTTTTGAGCAGAGCAGCCATAAGGCTGCAAGGAGCCCAGCACTCAAGAGGCAGACAGGATCCCACGCAATTAGAGGCCCAGGTAAGAACACTTTGCTGGGTTTCTGTGTAAGTCTTTGTTTATTTTCACTCGCCTTGTGAAACCATGTGAATATGTTAATTGACTGCACTGGAAATGGAAAAAAGCTTCCTCCACTAACATTCATGCACAGTCCTTGGATGCTGTTACTCACCAGCTGTGAGTTATAGCTGCTGCTTTTCCCAGATCTGTAAGTCGGCTCTCCTTATCATTGCATCCTTGTACTGAATTATGAGACCTTTTTGAAGCAGAGACTTACGCATACAACTACAGGTTCGTACTGACACAAGTTTTATGTTGTGTTCGATATGTTAAGAAGTAATTCTGGTCATTTCTTCTGACTTCTCCATACGTTCTCATTTCGCAGTGAAACAGATAAATTACTGGTATTGATTATACTTATGTGATGGATTTGGGGGGATTTCATATTAATTTATATTGAAAATTAGCTCTTAAAATTCCTTTGTATTTTTATTGCTGACATGTGTTGCCAGTTAGAATTTCTAGTTAATTTAAACTCCCCCCCTGGCACAACCTGTCTCCTCCAACTACCTGGAGCTACTTCTTGAAATGATGGGGGTTTTGTTGGCCACGGCTCTCATATTTTCCAAGGTCCCTCTGACTTGAAACTCTGCCATTCAGTGACCTCCAATTTTGTATTGTCGCCCTGTAGCCACGGGTACTGAGGAGTAAGAAGCCGTGTCAGACTGTGACTTGGGAGTCCACTTTTATAGCCAAGGCTGCATGGACGATATAAAGCAAGTTTGTAATCTGAAAGGAGCTCAGTGATGCCTTGTGTGTTCATGTGGCTGTCACCATGTCCTTACACAAGCAGAGCTCAAGCAGTGGCTTCAAGCTTTCAGAAAGATTGATATCTATATATTTATACCTACATGTATATCTAATCTATCTGATCAATCTCTCTCCCCCCCCACCTCTATCTAATCTATATCTATACTTGTATCTATACATAAAAATTAAAGAATATAGATGATTTATTTTTTTATTTACCTGTAATCCATGTGCTTTCTGGTATGGGGAAGCTGGTATGTCCATAGGCAGTGATTCTACCCACCTTCAGCACGCAATCTGAAGGAAGGAGAAGCCTCCCCTGGAAACTCGGCTCCTCTCTCCCTCTCAGTCCCCATCTTCCCTCCAGCAAGCCTGCTTGGGAAGAGAAATTTGTACCCTTCAAAAATTATCATGACAACTAAGAAGACTTCTCACAAGCATTCCTACCATTTATTTTTCTTAGGAGGGTGAATTAGAAAGGAAATTATCTCTGTTTTTTTTGTTTTTTTTTTTTTTTCTTTTTAGTCACCAAATCCTGAAACAAGAAAGCTAAAAGCACTGGTGACAGTTGCATAAGATGTATCTGTTTATTGGATAAGACATGGCTCAGGCATTCTGTTTTGTTTTGGGTTCGTTTTTTTTAACAAAAATTTCATTGGTCTGAGGCACTTCCTACAGCAGGCAGGTCAGTCACTTGGTTGTGTCACTCTTTCCACAGAAGATGTGTGGCAGACAGCTCGGTGACTGAAGTAGAGGCTGACATGCCTTCAGAGAATGTGCTTATCTAGCCAGATGCTCTTTCAAATGAAGCCAAAGTCATCCATGTGTTGTCATCTCCAAAGGCTACAACTAAACGTCCTCTAGGAAATGATTAATCAGACTTAGTAAACGAGTAAAAAGCCGCTTGTTGTCAGTGCTCACCCTGCAGAGGGAATGCCAGGGCCCCACTGATGTGCTGAAGCCTTTCAACTCCGCTTTGTCTCTCCAGCCTCCTTGCACGTGTGCCGCAGGACTGCTTTTCTGACCCGCACCCCCTCCAGCAGGAACCCCTGACGTCGGATCTCTGAATGGCTCCCTGGTGGCTTTACGCTCTCTCCATGGCACTGGTGTGGGGCTGCGTGGCATCCTCCTCCTACCACGCCACAGGTAAAGCCTGGCGTGCCATTTGTGTCGCTGCCTAACGCGTGCTTCACATTATTTCAGGTCCTTTATGAAGTTAATCCTTCAAATGAAGCTTTTCTTGCGTGTGTGTGTGTGTGTTACAAGGAGTGGCTGATTTATTAATGTGTAATCAATTGTATAAATATATTGTGTGTTTAGTGGATATTTTTCTGAGTAAATCCAAAAGCAGCAGAAACTGCCTTTGCTTGATTATTATTTGATATAAGGTTATAAAATATAAGTACCACTTGGATACATAAATGCTCCTGAGAACAGTCCCAGCAGGACAGACTGTGCTAGGTATAATAAGGGCTTATTCACGACTGAAGAATAATACTTGCTTCTAAAAAAGTATTGCTCTGCAAGCTATCATCCATGGCAATGACATTTCACCCTTTGCTTCAAGCCCTTGAACACCTCTTCGCTGCATCGCACTCGCCAGCCCCAGCCCTTTTGGCCTCCAGTACCTGGGAATTTGCACCCAAAGCTTTGCTTCTTCAGAGAGATGGCGGCAGGTCTGGCCATCCCTGCTGCAGCTGGTGCACGGTGGAGAGGTGGAAACTTGTCCAGGAGAGCACTGAAAGGCTCCCTGTCCTGCCAGCCCGCACGCATGGAAAGCTGCCCGCAAACACGCTGATGCCACACCAAGCAGAGCAGCGCTGCCTTTGAAAGGGGCTTCTCAAAACATGAAAGCTGCCCGCACCTCTCTGAGGTGGAGAAGTGCAGACATAGACGATACGGGGGGG